GGGCCTTTATTGCTGATCTTGGCGCGTATTGGATATCATATTCCGACAACTCGACCGCCCACTTGACCATGCGTCCCGACACTTCCATCGAAGTTAGTATCTTTTTTAGTGGGAGGTTTGTCAGGACGGTGATATGATGCGCTTGGAAGTACGGGCGCAGCTTCTGGGAGGCGCTTACTAGTGCCAAGGCAGCCTTCTCGATCGAGGAGTATCTTGTTTCCGCGCTGACTAGAGTGCGCGAGGTGTAATACACTGGTTGCTCGGTTCTGCCATCTCTTCTAGATATCAGCACCGCGCTCACGGCCCTTGTTGACACAGCGAGATACAAGAAAAGTTTTTCATTAAGTTTGGGGGCAGTCAGTACAGGAGGGGATACAAGATACGCCTTTAGCTCTTGGAATGCTGTTTCGCATTCTGTCGTCCATGCGAAGCGCGCCCCGTTCTTGAGTGTTTGGAAGAAAGGCGCACACTTGTCGGCGGATCTTGGTATAAATCTCCCCAGTGCCGCTATCTTGCCATTCAGAGATTGGATTTCCAACGCGTTCCGGGGCGCCCGTAATTGTTGGACCGCGGTGATTTGCTTCGGGTCGACCTCTATGCCGCGCTTGGTTATCATGAACCCAAGGAACTTCCCCGCTTCCGCTCCAAAGACGCATTTGAGTGGGTTGAGGCGAAGGCTGTGCTGGCGGAGGGCTTCGAAAGTCTCGCGCAGGTCCTCCAGATGTGACCTGCCCGCCTTGGTTTTGACAATGAGGTCGTCTACGTACGCCTCGATGTTCCGCCCGATTTGTCGCGAGAAAACTGTGTCAATCATTCTCTGGTATGTCGCGCCCGCGTTCTTCAATCCGAACGGCATCCCTACGAAGCAGAAGTTCCCGAACGGTGTCATGAACGCCGTCTTTTCTTCATCTTCCACCGACATTGGGATTTGGTGGTATCCGGAGAACATGTCGAGAAAAGACAACGTCTCATGGTCGGCGGTTGCGTCGATCAGCTGGTCGATACGTGGCAGGGGATAAGGGTCTCCTGGGCATACTTTGTTTATTGTGGTGTAGTCGACGCACATCCGCCAGGCTCCTGACGATTTCTTGACCAAGACCACGTTTGCCAGCCACTTTGGATACTTTACGGGTCGAATCAACCCGGCTGCCAGTAGGCGCTCCACCTCTTCTTCTATCGCCTTCAGTTTGTCGCCCGTGAAGGACCTCCGCCCTTGTTGCCTTGGCTTTGCGTTGGCTGGGACTGCCAAGCTATGTTGGGCCACCTCCCTGGGCACTCCTGGCATGTCCTCCGTGCACCACGCGAATAGTTCCTGGTACTCTTTCAGCAGCGCCACGAGCGGCTCGATCGCGTCATTGCTGACGTGAGTGGAGATGCGTATCTTCCTAGTCGGCTCGGCGGGATCCAGCGCGACCTCGAAATCGGAATCCATGGACTCCGGTCGGGGTTCTTCCGCCCTTGTGTCGACGATGTTGGTTTGTCGAGCCACAACGCGATCTTCCCATGTCGTTCCCCGTGCTTCTCCTACTCCTCTATTTGATGGGAACTTGAGTTTCTGGTGGCACGTCGACGGGAGGGCCGTGAACTTTGCGAGGAAAGGGCGGCCTAGAATGCCGTTGTGCGCCGATTCGCAATTGACGATCGTGAACTCTACTTGTTTGGAAACGCGAGGCTCCTGGTCGCCGATCACCACAGGGAGGGTGACCACTCCAATTACCGGGACCTTGGTTCCGGAGAAACCAACTAGGTTGCCTTGCGCGCGCCTGATTAGACGCGGATCGATGTCCATTTTGTCAATGGTACTCTGGAAGAGGATGTCAGCCGCGCTACCTCCATCTATCAGGAGGCGGTGAGTTTTGCAGGCGGCGATTAGCGCGGTGATGATGAGCGGCTCCTCCGACGGGACTCCCTGTGGGAATTCTGTGTCATCAAAGCTCAGGTTGAACCTTGTCGGCGCGTCGACTGCCGCGCACTCCGTCGCGCGCTCCCGCTTTGTTTTCTTCTGGGGACGATCTCCTTCAACCGTCACCACCCCAATTTCCTTGCGCACTACGTATGCGCCTGTGTCATCATCGTATTCGGCTTGGGGTGGTGGTGGCGGCGGGCGCTGAGGGGGCTCAGCTTGTTCTTTCTTCACGTGAGTGAATTCGGTTAGCAACCCTCGCCGTACGAGGCCTTCTATTTCGTACCTTAGCTCTCGGCAGTCTTCCGTCTGGTGACCCGTTGCTCTGTGGAATTCACAATGCGTATTTGGATTGCGCATATAGGGTTGGGACCTTAACGGGGCAGGCCAATTGAGCTTGTAACCCTTCTCGCGAAGGACATGGAACACATTCCTCACGGAGTCATTGAGGGGAGTGTAGGCGTTAGGCGCGCGCCTGTCTGGCGATCGCCCGCGCTGCGCCTGCTCTGGTGGGGGGGGAGGGACGCGCTTTGGGCCACTGTGCATCTGTAGCAATTGGTCTCGTGGGATTGTGGCTGGAGGCTGACGACGTGCCTGTTCTTCTCTCGGCATTCTCGCTGGTTCGAAGCGCCTGACGGATCCCGCCCCCAAGGTCTCTTCCAATGTGATCGCCTTTTCGATCTTCATCTCCAACTCCGTTGACAGCGTGACGGGCCTCTTTGCTAACGCCCGTTTGAGCTCCATGTTGTTGGTGGCCTCCATGAGGTGATGGGCAGCTGTTTCGGGGGTAAGGTCACGGACAGACATTGCTACCCTGGACCACCTGGCGTAGAAAGCTCTCAGGCTTTCCCCCTCCTTCTGCCTGACATCTATCAGGGCCTTGAGGTGGAGGGGGCGCCGTTTCTGGGAAGCGAACTTTGTTGTGAACAGAAGTATGAACTCCTCGAACGAGCGAATGATTCCGTTCGGGAGGCGGTTGTACCAGTCGAGGCATATGCCGGTGAACGTCGACGGGAAGGTTCTGCACAGCGCGGCGTTGGAGTTGGTTTGGAGTTGCATACGCAAGCAGAAGGTGCTTACATGGTCTTCCGGGTCAGTCGTGCCATTGTACGTCGGGAGGGTGGGTGTCGCCCCCGTCAGGTTCTCCGCCATTATCTGCGCGCTCAATGGCTGGTGAAGGACCCTTTTGGGCGGGTTGGGTCGGTACTGCGGAGACAGGTGTTGTTCTAAGAAGCTGAGGTCCGCCCGCTCCGGTGGTTCGATTCCCGGCGTTTCGCACGCGGGAAGTTCCGTCGGCGCGTGTTGGGGTAGCTGGGCTGTCCCCGACGCTTCTCCCAAGGCTTGCTGAGGCGCCACCGCCAAGGCGTGTTGAGGCGCGTCCGCCGCCGCGCCTATCGTTGGCGCGCTCTCCCTGCTCATCATGAGCGCGATAACTTGGCTCATTTGTTTCTGCATGTCGGCTATGACGTTGTTTTGCTTCCTCACTAGATCCCTCATTTCTTTGGCCGTCAGCTCTGGCTCCTCTTCTTCGATGAGCACGGCGTTGAGGTTGCTGGCTTCCGCGAACGCCCTCGGGTCAGTCATTGTCTTGATCGGCGTTGCTTGGTCAGGCTGGTCGTGGTTGTGCTCTGCCATTGGGGATTTTCTTTAGCGTTTCTTCTTGGCCCCAAGGTGGGCGCCAATTGTTTGAACCTAACTGAGTGTAGGAGTGAGGTTCGAGTGAGAGTTTGGGTCAAGAAGAAACGCGAACGTCGAGTTTGATCAAGAAGACAAGAATCAGAGAGTTGAGTGAGAACCGGAGTCCCAACTTTTAGAAAGAGAAGTAATTGTTATAGAGAGAGAATGGTGAAAAAATGCGATCCCCTCACCCACCGGAGTAAATGCCATATTTATAGGCTACATGGTGGTGGGTGAGTGGGTGGACTTCGAGACGGTACAACGACGTGACTACTGATGTGTCAGGGATTTAGGCCATCCCCCAACCTAGGACTTGTCAGAGGGTTGTCTATGATTTGTACCTAAAAGTCTTGACGTGACCTTCCCTCGGGAGACACAATGACGCCCTCTCCGGCTCTTGAGTCTGGTTGCCGCCTTGTCTTCCCACTTGCGCGCATAGCCTTGCTCTTGCCGCGCGTGAGGTCTCGGCGCTGTCGGACGTGTCGCGCCCTCGCCGTGTCTGTTGCGGCACGCGGTTTGACATGCTCTTTTGGCGCGGGGGTGATCCGAGTCACATGCCCAACAATTGCCCCCCACAGGGGGTGTTTCTCGAACGCCTCCTGTTGTGAGAAAGACAATGTGTTTTAGCTAGTTCACGGGCAAGAGAAAGACAAACTTCACTATACTTGAGGAGATATAGTTCATAGAGGGATTGAGAAGTGTATAGAGTACTTCTACAGAAGGTCTACCCTAATCCAATTTGGTAAAGATAACGTCACAGACCAGGTCCATAACAGAAACCCAAACGTGTATAAGCCCATACAACACAACTGACTCGCTGATCGAGCGACGAGTGATTTCAAGTCAGTGACAAATAATCTGATTCAAGTCATACCAACGCAACCAATTAAGTACGTGTATATGCATGTCATGTTGATGCTTAACTGGTGAATTCGATAAGTGTTGGGTTTAATCTAATGATAATACCCATGGTCTTAAAGTTGGATGTTGTAGCCTTGTAGGTTCGAATTTTTTAATTAGTACCTAACTAAAAAAGCAAGATATTTATTACCTTATCAAGTGTTGGGGTTACTGGTTAGCTAGCGCACAAAAATCTTCTTGGAACGAGGTTCACGACGAAAGATGAGCATATATATATTTAAGAACCTTGTTCCATTTCTCAGAATTCAAGCAAAGAAAAAATAAAGACAAAGCAAACCAAGTATAAAGTGCGACGATTCCCTTAGCAAATCCCTCGGCAAACCAAGTATATGCCCATTGTTTTTTGGCGCACACCTGATGAGCTGCTCGCTCTTTCGCGTAACTAGCCAAAAAGCTCGTGGAACGCAACAGAAGGAAAGAATAAGAAAGGATGACAAAGAAGCTGGCCGTCGGGACTCCTATATATATAATATATTAAATTAATTTGTCCAGTTGGTGTAGAGATCACATATAATATAATTATATATTATTTTAATATTAATTGTTGTTGTGTTCCCTTGCGCGCCTGGATACGTACGTACGTAGGTTAACATGGAGCAGGTGGAGGTGCAGGTTGCTCAGCAGCAGGATTTGGTGAAGGACCCTCACTATTACGTGGAGCTGGTGAAGGCAATATACAACGGCGACTGGGAAGCGGCGAAGGCGTTTTTTGACTTGGATCCTTGGTCGCTGACGGCTAAGATCACGGAGATGCATGACACTCCCCTCCACGTGGCGATCAGCAGCAGCCGCTCGCCGGAGTTCATCCGAAGGTTGGTGGATTTGTTGCCCCATGCTTCGCTCGGGACGGCCAAACTTTTCACCGGCTTCACGGCTTTGCACTTTGCAGCCATGGTCGGCAACGTCGAGGCCGCACAGATTCTGGTGCACAAGTCCCCTGAATTGTTGCAGCAGAGGGCGTCAAGCGCCTCCTCGTTCGACCTTCCGGTTACCACTGCCGCTAGATACAGCCAGAGGGACGCCGTCACTTATCTGTTATCGGTTACCCCCGATCACACCTGGCGTCCGCTCACTGACGATGCTCTTCCTCCCATTAACGATGGCGTCGTGCTTCTTAATCTGCTCATATTTGATGACTTCTATGGTATGTCGGTCATTAACTCTTCCCCTTCCTTTATGTGTTTGCTTTCTCCTAAATACGATTAGAATACTTTTTGATTATAAAAACTCTGATACCGTAGCGTAACTAGGATTTTGTTTAAGGGGTCGTTTGGAAGTTGTGATCGTTAGAGTTGTGTTTGTTAAATACATGTATTGTGCACAATACAATGTTTGGAAGTGTCAAAGTGTAAAACAATGCATGAATTGTTTTAGGTAGGCCCCACCAACAATCACAAAAAATGATGCATTATACAATCTCATCTAAAAGCTGAGATTGTTGGTTTTAGATTTGTGTCAACTTTTTCTTTCCATTTATATCCATAATAGTGTTTGTCTTATTCTAAAAGTTGAGGGTAAATGTGACATTTACCCATAAAAGTAACTTTATGTAAATCAATGCATAAAGTAGAATCTCAACAACCAAACACTGTATTGTTAAAATGCATTCATTGTATCAATAAATGCATTTATATTATAGTGATTCATTACAATGCAACGATTTAACATTCGCAACTTCCAAACAACCCCTAAGTGTGTAATAAGAAAATTACTTATATGGTCTCATGTTTCATATTGCAAAATGATTCTAGAACTATATGGATCATCCAAACTATCAATATTTCACACTTAATATATCCCACCAAATAGTCATTTACATTTTCACTTGATGCAATGGCTGGTCAATTGTGTCATTGTATAAAATGTTATCAAATTGTGAATTGTCAACTTACATTAGCAAATCCAATCTATGTTCACAAGAAAATGCATTGATGGAACTAATTTTCTCTTCCAACTATTGTTATCATAAAAATGTAATAATTTCCTCTAATAATATATACTTTTTTATCCATTTTGATAAACTAGAATATAATGTAACTAGCAATTAATACATAAAATTAGTTTATACAATTTTTTATGGCTTAAATATATTATGAAATTTATGAAATATTTTTGAAATTCATAATGAACCCAAAACCCTCATATATCCATGATTTTATAAAACTCAAAATTTATCAAAACTTTCATTTTTCAAATTATGAAGCAAACGACCTGTAGATATCACTATCAACATACTTATCCTACCAATTTTGTTTGTGTGTTTTCTCCAAATTTAAGGGGGTTGTCATTGAACCCCTTACTAGCCTCTAGCTTTGCCCCTGCTCGATATCATATAAAAAATTAACTGATTCCAATAACTCGAGTTGTTAGAAGAGACTCAATTATAGATTATATACCACATAATCACATATGCTAACAATACACTTGCCTTATAGGACTGGCTCTCCACCTGTTGAGGAGATTCCCTTCACTAGCTCGCGGTCGGGAAAATTTCACACACGGCAGCGCTGCCATATTTACACTGGCTGAAAAGCCTCAAGCATTTCCTAGCGGAACAAGGGTTGGACACTGCCGGCGATTCTGGAGTCACTGCAAGTCGTCGTTGTTGAAAGTGTGCAAAACTACTTTTGCGACGACAACGGAGATTGGGAAGGAGCACACACAGGTGATGGAGCTGCTGAGGTTGTTGATCTCCGAAATCTTGAAAGCTGCATCGACAGCAGAAGTCAAAACCCTATTAGCGCCGGCGATATCGTTGGCCGCCATGTCGGGGATCTCCGAAATAGTGAAGGAAATCGTCAAAGCCTATCCCATGGCAATGTGGTTTGTCGACACCCAGGGTCGCGACATCTTTCACGTGGCTGTAATGTACCGTCAGGAAAAGGTTTTCAACATCATGTACCAAATGAGCGCCGCCAAAACCTTGGCCGCTGCCTTTGTTAACCCGACCACCGGAGATAACTTGCTTCACATGGCCGGCAAGCTAGGGCCCACTGACAAAATCCCTGGCGCTGCTCTCCAACTTCAGCGGGAACTTCAATGGTTCAATGTAAGGATTAATTAGTCTTTGTTCACTTTCTCATGTCATAAATTTGGCAATCGAAACGAGAAAACTTGTTTACTTTTCATTATGTTTTCTATTTGTTTCCACCTATAAAAACATAAGTGGTAACTTCCTACTGTTTTTGAAAGGGTTAAAGACACATTTGGTCACTGGGTTTACTAAAATGTGTCATATTTAGTCACTGAAAAAAACAAATATCAAATTTGGTCACTCGAATTAATAAAATGGTCCATATTTAGTCACTCTCCGTTAACTTTGCAGTCAACCCTAACGGTTGACTGTTAAATGTCTGACGTGGCGATTAAAAAATTAATAAAAAAATTAATTTAATTTTTTTAATATTTCCACATCATTAAAATAATAAAATAAATAAATAAAAGCAAATTAAATCTCATCTCCTCCGCAGCTCTCCACAACCGCCCCAACGTCTTCCTTTTCAACCTCCCCCACCGCCGCTGACGGCAAAACTCCGGCGCCACCAAGCTCACTTTGTAGCTCTCCGCCGTGGACGTCACCGATAACTTGCTCTCCTTCACCTACGTATTATCCACTCCAATTAATCAACACGAATTCATAATGACGCGGATTAGGTTAATCGATTATCGATTAATTAATTACCTTTTTGGTTAGGATGGGGAGCAAAGCGGAGAGGGCGAGCATGTTCCCAACATCGGATAAAATCGTGAGCTCCACCGCCCACAGCAGCCTTCTCCCGGCGAGGAGGGCGGCGGCGAGGCCGGACACGGCCGATGCGAGGCAGAGGATTGCGAGGTGTGCAGGCGGAGCGGTAAAGCCAGCGTTGAAATCAACCTATACACGTAATTAAAAGTTAAAAACCCAGGATTACGAAGAGATTAATTAACTGATCATACGCTTAATTGAATGATTGATTTAAGATTGAAGTTGGTACCTGGCCGCTCTGCTTCCTTCTATCCCATGAAACCTCCAGCCGCAACATTACGGAGAGCTCTCGAATCGATTCGATGACGAGAGACCGTTCGTCAGCAGGCGCAGGAGTCGTCTGGCTGTTGTTGTTGTTGTTGAAAGATACCGCAATTAGTGGGAGGCCGTCCGCTCGGGCAGATGGCCTCTATGCTAAGGACGAGCTGGTGATCAGGGAGATGGCGCGTGGCCTTGTGAGGATTGTGCTAGAATGCGAGAAGAAGTCTTCATCGACGGGCGACGGCAAAACTCCGGCAGCGGCAGTGGGGGAGGTTGAAAAAGAAGACGCTGGGGCGGTTGTGGAGAGGAGAAAAGATTTAATTTGCTTTTATTTATTTCTTTTATTATTTTAATGATGTGGAAATATTAAAAAAATTAAATTAAATTTTTTATTAATTTTTTAATCGCCACGTCAGACATTTAACGGTCAACTGTTAGGGTTGACTGCAAAGTTAACGGAGAGTGACTAAATATGGACCGTTTTATTAATTCGAGTGACCAAATTTGATATTTGTTTTTTTCAGTGACTAAACATGACACATTTTAGTAAACCCAGTGACCAAATGTGTCTTTAACCCGTTTTTGAAAACGACAAAATATTGTTTTCACCATATGTTTTCTCATTGGGATTATGATTCGTTCGTCAAGATTCTATATGTATGTACCCTTGTCAATTGTATGTTACGTTACTGAGATTCAACCTTATGTAGGCTAATTTGTCAAATTCTTACCATTATTAATGCTAACGAATAGGCGCTAGCTAGCTGTTTAATGTATTTTTCTCTCTTGATCAGGAAGTTGAGAAGATAGTCCAACCCACTTTCAGAGAAATGGATAATAATGAGCTGGATACCCCAAGCGATATATTTACGGAGCAACATGAAACCCTGATCGAGCAAGGAGAGAAATGGATGAAGGACACAGCAAACTCGTGCTCCCTCGTGGCGGCACTTGTAGTGACGGTAGCTTTCGCGGCTGCATTCACTCTGCCTGGGGGTTCCAAAGACGACGGGACACCGAATTACCTGAACAAACCGTCTCTGATGGTGTTTTTGGCAGCGGACACTCTAGCGCTCTTCTCGTCGTCGACTTCGCTCCTCATGTTCTTGGGGATCCTAACCTCGAGATATTCGGAGAAGGATTTCTTGAGGTCGTTACCCATGAAGATGGGGATCGGGCTCTTGACGTTGTTTCTGTCTATAGCGGCGATGTTGATTGCTTTTGGTGCGTCGTTGCACCTCGTTCTGTACCACAACGTGAACTGGATAATGGTTCCGATCGGTCTCGTGGCATCCGTGCCGTCACTTCTGTTTGCGTTCTTGCAGTTCCCTCTCTTGGTTGAGTTGCTCTTCTCCACGTTTGGGCCTAGCATCTTTGGCAAGCAGAGTGACGAAATCATCATGTGATTTCTACTGCGCCCTTCCTTTCCGACAACTGCTGGATGGTTCATGTATTCTAATATTTTTTCTTCTTCTTTATATTGAGTGATTTTTGTGTGTATTGTTTAATAAAATCATTCGCCATTATAAAATTAAGAACTATGTACCTACTATTGTCAACCTTCTTCATATGTATGGTTACCTTAATCATCAATTTATATCTATTGCTTTAAGTCAATGCTACGTACATTTTGGAACATTATGTGTGCCGTTATTACTTTCTTGATTTGGATTCACTTGATTGCTTTCTAGTATGGTTTATGGTTTGTTTCTGAAGGTAACAAATGGATCAACAAAAGCTCATCATCACCTTGAGTACATAGATAGACAGCTGAATGAAACCACCCAGCTGCTATATTGGACAAAGTTTTATTACAACTAGAGAAAATCAAACCACACTCAACACTCATGCCAAAAATAAACCATGCAACTACCTCCTTAATTAGCATATATGGCATGATCATACATCACCATATTGTTATTATTACGATGGACGAAGTAGTTGCTTAAATTCCAAATGAATTAGCTGGGGGAGTCACTCGATTAGGCGGCGCAGACGGTAGGGTTGGCCAAGAGGTAGTCTTCCACAGCCTTGTAGACGCCCAGAGTCTGCTGTCCGATGGTCTCGATCAAAGCCTTGTCGGCCTCTCCCTTGGTATGGTAATGGTTGATTGCCTTGACCACGCAGCCATCACCAGCGGTGTCAATCTTCACCTCATTCACCACCGACTCCACGTTGTCGCTCAACGCGCCACCTTCGATCAACGTGTACTTGCTGTAAAAGCTGGCAGGGTCCTTGGCCTCCACTCTGTGCTTCACCACCTTCACTTGATTCCCTATAGATATCAAAACTCGGTTAAAAAAATGTCGTGCGCGGTATAAACTTGCACCAACTGCTGCTGATCAAGCAAATTAGATGTGTATGAATGAAGGGTTACATACCTTCGTCGGCGAAGCAAGTCTGGAGGATGCTACCAACGCCACCATCGCCCTGAACGATCTCGCTCTTGTACTGAGGCATGAAGTTGGGGAAGACGGTAGGGGAGTCTTGGATGATGGCTTTGTACATCCTTGGGGCTGGGATGGAGGACTTGAACTCGTGGGTTGCTGTGGTAACTCCCATTTTGTTTTGAATGGATTAGCTAGCTAGGGTTGGATGTTTTAGAAGGGGATTAACGAGTAGTATCTAGCTAGAGGGATTGATGAGGATGCAAAGAGCTAGGGTTGATTGGCTGGTATATTTATAGTCTAATGCAGAAGGCACTGTTTGATTGATTGATTAGCTCTTCCCCAAAATTTCAAGGGCTATATCATTGTAAATGAAGACTAAATTTTTGAGCGGCATCCCTTTGTTGAAAACGACTGCATTGATCATCTTTAGCACCATCTAGAATTCCTGGACTAGCTCCAAAGGTCAATGTGACATCAATATTGACCGACTGTTTGGACTTTGGATCAATTGCCATGCGAATACACAAAAACATATCTAGTTAGTAGGGTTGGTCCAATATTTAATACTCATATATATTTGGCTGGATTTCGAGCCAGTCCAAGGATTCTAGATTGGTGGTCATTTTCAACATTAATATTTTAAATATCTAATGATCTAATTAAGTTCGACAGACCTTTTCCCATTTTAGCAAATCAAGTGATCAAGACCATTAACATAGCTGGTGAACTCCACTTGTATCCGGTGGCGTAACAAGGATTTCGGCTACTATGAGTTCAAATTGGGGGAAAAACTGTCGATACTGGTTATTTAGAGATCTGTGGGTCCAACACATATCTTCAAGGTTGGGATCAAAGATGAGTTGGAGATTTGTGTTGGAGAGATAGAGATTTATTTTAATTTATGTAAAAATTTATAGCGTATTATATACATTAGAATGTATGCTTATATGAGCACGTCTATGATGCACCATAAGCATTACAAATGGTGTAAAGATTTTAAAATATATAAAATTAATTTCTTAATTGTAAACATCCATTTGTACCGTTAATGGAATATTTTTTAATTCTTACAAATGATTTCATCACCATTTATAAATGATAATTATATATTCTATGCACCCGAAATTTGACATATATCATAGATGCCTCCTCATCTATATTTAAGATAACTTGTAATTGATTGATAAATACGTGACATGATAATAATGAGGTTAGCATGCAAATCCAATTTTACCATATTATTTCTTATAATTCCTCAAATTCTATACCAAAACTAAAGTGTACCCCGATCCAAGATCTCGAAACCAACCTCTCTCCCCTTCGGCTACGAGAACTTCACCTTCTGGAAATCAGGGATGGTAAATAAGAGGTCATAATAGTCAATTTAAATTAACATTTTTTTTATTCTAGAAACTTCTCATTGTGTCGTTCAAAAAGTGATTTAATTTGCATTATCTTGGAAAATATACCTAAGTGACTTGGAATTTAAACTAGCCAATGAATCGATGGTTCAAAGGCGACTCTGTATATTGGCTGCATTTTTTCCCGCTTAGCAGTTTATTGTCGGAATTTTTAATCGCTTGAATTAGGTCAGCCATGAATTCTAGGCATATTAAATTTTATCAACGACTATATAAGTTAATGACGGAACACTAAATGTTTTAGATATTTGTTTTCTCATCACTATCAAGTCAATCTCGAGTTAATAGAAACTTATGATTAAAAACTGACGTAAAGTTCTCTTAATGCAAAATATTATCTCCTTTTTGTTCAATAACTAGATAAACCATATAGTCAAACCGTTTATATATTGATCATCCAAAACTCTTCACCTTGAGTACATGAAAGACGAATGAAACCAACACTTTATTACACGAAAAGCACAACCAAGCACTACGCTTAGAGTAACAAATCAAACCACACACTCCACAATTACGACCACAAACTAATTAACCACACATGCAACTACTTCCTCAACATATGGTATACACCTCCATATTCTTATTATTTTGTTTATTGTGGATTAAGTAGTTGCTTAAACACTCCACACGAAACTTGATCAGTTGACCAGAATAACTCGATTAGGCGCAAACGGTGGGGTTGGCCAAGAGGTAGTCCTGAACAGCCTGGTAGACGCCCAGAGTTTGCTGTCCAATGCTCTCAATGAAAGCCTTGTCGGCCTCTCCCTTGGTATGGTAATGGTTGATTGCCTTGACGACGCACCCATCGCCGGCCGGCTCAATCTTCACCTCGTTCACCACCGACTCCACGTTGTCGCTCAACGCGCCGCCTTCGATCAACGTGTACTTGCTGTAGAAGCTTGCCGGGTCCTTGGCTTCCACCCTGTGCTTCACAACCTTCACTTGGTTCCCTACACATCACCATATATCAACCCCAAGCTTACACATTAAAATTTGTAACAATTAAGAAAGATGTCAGTATGGACTTCCACCAAACGTTTCAGATGAAAGGATATATACCTTCATCGGCGAAGCAAGTCTGGAGGATGCTGCCGACGCCGCCATCGCCCTGGACGATCTCGCTCTTGTATTGTGGCATGAACTTGGGGAAGACGGTCGGAGAGTCTTGGATGATGGCCTTGTACATCCTTGGGGCTGGGATGGATGACTTGAACTCGTGGGTTGCTGTGGTAACTCCCATTTTTTTGCTTTGGATGAGTACTTAGCTAGCTAGGGTTGGATGTTTAGAAGAGGATTGAGAAGAAGAAGCAGTAGTAGTGGGTTTAGCTAGGTTGGGTTGATGGTGAAGAGAGTGTGGGTTATGGCAGTGGGAATTTATAGGAGAAGGAAAGGTGGTGGAGATGATGAAGAGATCAACAACGGATTTGCTTGTTTATGCGAAAAATGGTCGTGCAAGTTTTTAGTCGGTGATTATGACCTTAAGCGCATCCAATTTTGAATATTCGCATGGCCATCTAGAATACGTGGACTACCCGGATTTAATGTTTATAATATTAGCATATGGCCTTAAAATTCTTTCTTTCTTTTCTTCTCCTACATTGGAAAGACCCCAATTCATATATGAACATATATGCATGTTTGTAGGCCAATGATATCTCATATAATAATATAGTGGTCAAATTCAAGTTTTGTCGCGATAATAAAAGTAGTTATAATTCCTCTTTGTCGCGATAATAAGATTGGATAATATGAGGTTTTCTTATTCCATGAATTATTTTTTGAATTAATTATCCTAGTATATTTTTATTTATTTGTATTTTATCTAATGTGTAATGTTAATATTTGGTAATACGTTAGTTGAGATGATAAACCACAAGTTGTATATATTCTTAGATACCATAGATACTCGAAATTTGATTGGCCAGGAGTACAATTTTAATTTACTACATGAATCTTGTATAGGCATTGATGAGGTTATTTTGGGTTTGAGTTTTTGAGATTAGTAGTTTGGGTGTTTAGTTTAATTATGGGTCTAGTATATTAGTGGGCTAGCATGAGGTTTACGTGAGCTATTGGTATATGAGCTATTAGCTTAGTAGTTTGGTTAGGATTCTTCTCTTGGTTGCCGAGTTGTGAAGGGTTAGTAGCTAGTCTCGGCTGAAGCTAGAGTTTACTTATTAGGTTTATTTCTTATGTAAATATGTAAGTTCGACATTAGTTCCGTATCAATCAAATATATCAAAGGTTTATGGACACCAACGTCTTCTCTCGTTTGTGAATTACAAGCAAAACCCTAGAACATAGGGAATCTGTTCATCACATATATATGAATAGGTTGATGAATTTCACTATCCGACTATCTGACCTTCAACCGATGGATTGTCATCCCTAACGTATGTATAGTATTGTTCTTCTATTTCTCATAAACAATAAAATATTATCTCTTCAAGATTTCGATTGACCAAACAAACATATTCCATTATATAAAGTTTTGAATTCCAAATTTGACTAACTAAGAAATAGGGAATGCTTCAAGTTTTTCTAAAGTAGAATTATCTTTTACCTTGTTTACATTGGCTTTTAAAAAAAAGCTTATATGGTTTTTTGAATAAGAGAGAAATTCATCGCAGACAGTAAACTTTGGCATTCATAAATATCCGACAATTACATAAAAATAGTGTAGATTAACAAATAGACTTGTCGTGTCGGTGGCGATCATAAGCATAACACACAAATATGAAATAACCCATAATCATTCTAAATTTAAACCTACCCCTTTACCGATCTTACCACTCTATGCGATGGTTAGTTGACTTTATATTTAGAGGGATAAGCTTAAATCACTACTTCTGAAATCGCGTCTGGTTAATAATAGTGGTATGTCGACTTAGAGATAAGATTCGCTTAATTAGCTACAGCCAGGTGTTATCTCAAACCACTTTTTGTTAACCGAAAGCATGTATGTACAGGTCACAAATTTCCACAGCAGCAGTCTTATCAGGCCAGACAGGGACAACCATTCAAGCAGCAGCGACGGTTTGCCCAACCGACAACAGCTCCAGCACAGGTCAAAATAAAAAAGGGTTAAAGACACATTTGGTCACTGAGATTACAAAATCGGGACATGTTTAGTCACTAGAAAAAGTTAATATCAAATTTGGTCACTACAATTACTAAAACTGGACGCATTTAGTCACTCGCCGTTAGTCTCCGTCCAACTCCGTTAATGAAGTCCGTTAAGTGCTGATGTGGCAAACAGAATTGCCTAATCAGCCGGATATAACCCAACAAAAATAAAACCCGACCCGCCACGTCATTATAACCCGCCACCTCATTAAAACCAACCCAACCCAACTCATGACCCAACCCTTCTTCCTCCTTCCTCCCCAACCCAATTTAGGGTTTTCCCCCAACTCAATTTAGCAGTTCTTTCATCAACTTCGCCGCACTTTCCTTCTTTTCCTCTCCAGATTCGACCTTCTCGTCGACAGAATTGCCGTGTTTCGGACAACAATCCTTCTTTTTCTTCTCTGCTTCAACATTGGTCTTCCCCTCCGGCTCCGGCCGATTCTTCTTCCCGGCAGTCGATTTTGCTTCCTTCCGAGTCGGAATCTCGATTTCACTTCCTTGACCTGATTTTTGCTCGCTCCTTCCTCTCCCTTCTCCTTCTCGACGAAATCGTACCGCTCGTACGGAGTCGCGTCGAAGAAATTCAAAAAGTCCCACGCCGACGAAGACCTCGGCTGCGGCGGCGACGGCGTTATCCACGACCTTGCCACCGGCGCAAACTCTCCTCCTCCTCCTCCTGCTACTCTTCCTCCGCCGTCTCCGTACGAATCGTACTTCGAATACGCAGCGAAGTCGGAGTCGGAATCAGAGCTGGAGCTGGAGAATTCGCGATTGGGAGAGGGAGCTTCGGAGGAGGAATTGCTGTTACTGTTGCTCTTACAGTCCCCGTCGCAGGTGCAGTTCTCCGACTGGGAATCGGAGGGAGGAGCGGCCGCGATTTGGGAGGCGTGGGTGCGGAGGAAGGAGAGGAGGGCGGGGGAGAAGGAGCGGAGGGAGTGGAGGTAGGCGGCGTGGGAGTCGGCGAAGGCGTAGCTGTGGCGGAGGGAATCGTCGAGGAGGCGGAGGCTGGGTTTCCGATGCGGCGTGGGTTTATGGGTCGGTTCATGGATACCCTGCACCACTACTCCGCTTTGTACGACTCGCTGGAAGCTGGGTTTCCGATGCGGCTCCGGCAAGGTCGAGTGCTCCGGCGGAGGAGGTGGGAGGCGGGAGGAGTGGGTGGGATGGGGAAAACCCTAAATTGGGTTGGGGAGGAAGGAGGAAGAAGGGTTGGGTCATGAGTTGGGTTGGGTTGGTTTTAATGAGGTGGCGGGTTATAATGACATGGCGGGTCGGGTTTTATTTTTGTTGGGTTATATCCGGCTGATTAGGCAATTCTGTTTGCCACATCAGCACTTAACGGACTTCATTAACGGAGTTGGACGGAGACTAACGGCGAGTGACTAAATGCGTCCAATTTTAGTAATTGTAGTGACCAAATTTGATATTAACTTTTTCTAGTGACTAAACATGTCCCGATTTTATAATCTCAGTGACCAAATGTGTCTTTAACCCAAATAAAAAAGAAGCTCCATTCTTTTCGAGGGAGACACATACGCAGATTTTGGTAATTTTATGACATTTGTTCATTAAAGGTATCAATATATGTGTTTTTTTTAAAGGTATACAGATATGGATATTTTATTTTATTAGAAAATAAAGAGAAAGAGAATGTGGAGAACATATTCAAATCAATAATATAATTTTGGTTTTGGTGATTGTTTGATAGGGATAGTTACAATGCATGTATTGTCCACAAAGTAATGTTTTTTAGAATTTTCTGCACAAACAATACATGCATTGTTTGCTTGATGTGACACAAACTATCACTCAAAATGAGTGATAGTTAAATCTCACGTTTTTTGTGAGATTGTTGAGATTGTTGGGTTATTTTTTCTTCCAACTATGTCCCTACCTTTTTATGTGTTTTACTTTTTAATATTAAAAACAAAGGGTAAAATTGACATTTCACCCAAAAAGTAATATAACTTGTTTAAATACTACAATAACTATCACAGAAACCAAACGATGTAAACTACAATACACCAATTTTCTTATATACATGCATTGATGACAATGCATCAATTTAACAATCACCAAAACCAAACGGCCCCTTAGGATATGTCCTCTTAAACAAAAGACTACTCACGAACTTGAAGTTTGGACATAAATAACATGTGCTTAAACAAATGAGGTCGTTGGGTATTTGAAAACAAAACCTCTCGATCATCTAAAATATTTATAAGATCAATATATAGTTGGAGAGAGTCTGCTTCGTGTCAACTAGTCATGATCAGATGATATAAAATAAAACTATGTGTTTGTTCGTACTTGTTCTTTTATTTTAAACACGAGTTTGTATCTTGTTATTAAAACTTACTTTGTGGACTCCAAATGTCTCGCAGTTTGTATGAACTCAAAAAAGTATGTTCTTTGAGAGTTTCAATTTTAAGTTTTTGTTGAAGGCATGAATAAGAGTTTGGTCTAGTAGTAATAACATTAGTTTTAAATTTGGATGCCACATATTTGAATATAATAAGTAGTATCTAACTACAAAAATTAAACATATATCACTCTAATTTAGAAAAAAAGTTTATGTTTGAAATAAAAAAATTAAACATATCACCTTTAGTTTTATGGTACTTCTACCCAACACCCTTCACCCTTATAATCACTGCTAACCCGTCTACTGGTAAAGAATCCAATCTAGTCTGACAACTGACAAGCTACCCAATCAGCAAGTAATTTAAACCATTAAGGAACAAATTTAACTTTGATCCACGGTGATGAATGGATCATAGGGATCATACATGCAAGGGTCGCTCTACACTACCAAGGCCAGCGGGAGGGATCTTGCTGCGAAGATATTAAGAGAACCTCGCAATCCGTCCGAATAATATAATAGAAGGAATTCTCTCTTGAGCCGCAATCAAGATTCAAGATATCATTGAGGAGTACTCCAAAGACTTCCGCTTGACTAGGATGGGAACAAAGCAGAGACTTAGCTATGTCGTCGCACACTCAATCATGAGCATTAGCAATAGCAAGCCTATACGCCTTCTTTGAAAAATATGAGACTAAGGATCTGTCACATTTCATCAATCATCTAGAAGAAGTAGGCGGTGGTCAAGTTAGAACGGGAACCCCTAAGATGAGAGGTCGATTGTGTCGAATACGCTGATGATGAGAAGATGACATTATTGTGCGTCCGTGCTTCCTCAATCAATATACTTGAAGTCACGACCAAACACAGTTTCAGTAGTTGAGTCTGGGGCAGGAGCTTTGTCTTCGAATTGAAAGAATTACAAGAGCAGCAAATGATCCAAAGATAGCACACAATCTTTCGAATATGAACATTCGTTTGTTACTATGGAGTGTTAGTAGTATAGTAACAAAAGTGTAATTTTGTTGTTTCTAGGTAGTTTCTTGTAATAGTAATTTTATAGGTACTAGATAATAATTTGGTTAACAATATATAAAGGTCGTACAGTGTAAACTGAAACTCAATGTTTTGTCTATAAAAGTTTTTTTTCTCACCTCTGTACGAAATCTCACATGGAGGTCGAAAAACCAGGACATGAAACTAGATCTTAGGGGTGGAAGAAGGTTGAGGCCCGAGATGTCCCAAGTGGCCAAAGCGTGTTGACAATAGAAAAGAGTAGAGACAATGCATCACTGATTCCGTCGGTGCATAACAAATGAGACACTTCAAATTGTGAGATCATTTTACACGAGAACAAACGCTCTCCCTAGAGAATTGCTTTCTTCGAGCACTTCCAAAGAAAGAAGCCAATTTGGGAGGGAGAGAGCTAATCCCCATGAGGCCTTGTCTAGTCATTTCGATATGGTCAATTGCTTTTTTTTCCCCATTAAATTCTTTTTTTAGAAGAGTTGACGCATTGCGTCACCATTAGATTCCTCTAAAAAATAGGTAGACCAAAATTCAAAGCTGGCCTTATTAGCCCAGCCCAAGCCCAACCCAAGCCCAATATTAGCCCGAAAGTGACTCTAGCTAAAGTGACACGTTTGGTATTCCTAAATCCTTACAATGACAACAGATTCTCCATCACAGGAAAGGAACGTTTCCGAACCGGATTCGGGTTGCTTGGCGCCCAAGGAATCCACCGGGATTTCATTAAAGCTTCTTCTTTCTCCCCTTTCATTCCTGCATTTCATCCCCTTCTTAGGTTTTCTTCACCTCTTTCGTTGTTTCATTGGCAATTCGCAGTCATGCCGAACGAGCCTTCTGTGAAAACCCTCGTCTCCGAGAAATTGATGTCCTTCTTGCGATTCTCTCACCCTCTGGTGGTCCAGTACACCGCCGCGATCTCCCAAAACGCCAATTCTCCTGAAGAGATTGTCGACAAGCTGCTCGAATATGGGGTCGATGGAGGCGACGACATTCGCTCGCTTGCCGCCGATCTCTTCCTCAGCGTTTCTCGTAGCGATAAGGCCGCTGCCAAGGGGTCGAATTCACGTCGCCATGAAGAGAAGAGCCTGGCCGATTTGGCCCGGAAGCAGAGGCAGTACCGCTTAATCGTGGCGGAGAGTGACGGAGATGATGATGATGATCATGATTCCGGCGCCGGAGGAGCTTCTTCCTCGAAGTCTGCATCGGGTGTCGTCGGCGGCGAAGATGATAAGAAGAAGAGAAAGGCTACGGATGATAGAGAAGTTATTAGGGCTTTGAGGAAGAAGTCCCGTCAGGAGTATTTGAAGAAAAGGGAGAAGGAGAAGCTTCAGCAGCTGGACGATTGGATTGCCGAAGAGAAAGTTCTGTTGGAGGGCTTGGAATTGAGTGAAGTGGAGAGGTTAGAGTACAAACACAACAAAGAAATTCTCGAGGCCACCAACAAGTTCTCAGAATCCGTCGCCGGTAGCGACGGCGGGGAGTATCGGTTTCCGGAAGCCTACGATGGCGACGGGCTAATTGATCAGCGGAGGAGATTTGGCGCCGCGTCTAAGCGCGACACCGGAGGATTCGAGAAATTAGAGTCGTGGGAAGATCATCAGTTACAGAAAGCGACGGTGAAATTCGGGTCGAAGAATAGAAAGAGGGAAGCCGATGATTATCAGCTTCTATTCGACGATAGCCTGTATAAGCTTGAAGGTCAGCTACTACCAGGTAAGTCTCTAGACGAAGAAATTACACAAAAACTCGATTATGTTTCGAAGAAGCACATTGGAGATGGCCGAAAGTGCCTCCCCATATACCAATTCAAGGATAAATTGCTTCAGATGATTCGCGATAATCAGGTTTTGGTGATAGTTGGGGAGACTGGTTCCGGCAAAACAACTCAGCTCCCTCAGTATCTCCACGAGGCAGGCTACACGAAACAGGGCAAAATCATCTGCACCCAGCCGAGACGGGTCGCAGCGATGAGTGTGGCAGCTAGAGTAGCGGTTGAAATGGGGGTGAAGCTCGGGCATGAAGTCGGGTTCAAGATCAGGTTCGAGGATTGCACTTCGGAGAAGACGGTTGTCGAATATATGACTGATGGAATGCTCCTGAGGGAGTTCAGCTCTCAACCGGATTTGAAGAACTGCAGTGTGATCATGGTGGATGAAGCACACGAGAGGACCGTCTCCACCGACATAATCTTCAGCTTGGTGAAGGATTTGGCGAGGCAGAGAAGCGATTTGAAGCTGCTGATCAGCAGTGCAACTCTGGATGCCGAGAAGTTCTCCGATTACTTCGACTGTGCACCCATTTTGGAGATTCCAGGAAGGCAGTACCCTGTGGATATCTTGTACAAGCAACCTGTGGACGAGATTTTGGAAGAAGCAGTTGCTGCTACGCTTCACATCCATGTCACACAGCAACCAGGCGACATTTTGGTGTTCCTTACTGGACAAGAAGATATCGAGACTGTGGAAGAAATGTTGAGAGAGAAGGTGAAGCATTATGGAAGCAAGATGGGAGAGCTTATCATCCATCCATTGTTTGCCAACCTGCCTACTGAGCTCCAAGCAAGGATCTTTGATCCGATCCCTGAGAAAGCTCGAAAGGTGATCTTGGCAACGAATATAGCCGAAACTTCCCTCACAATTGAAGGGATAAGGTATGTTATAGATTCTGGTCTTTGTAAGTTGAGTTCGTACAGTCCTCGCACTGATATGGGGTCGCTGCAGGTGACGGATATTTCAAAAGCATCAGCTATGCAACGAGCCGGGCGTGCTGGTCGAACTGGGCCTGGGAAATGCATTAGGCTGTATGCTCCTGATCATTTCCAGAACCAGATGGAGGACAATTGTGTTCCTGAGATACAGAGGTCCGACATTGTCAGCGTGGTGCTGACATTGAAGGCACTTGGGATTAACGATTTCAAGAATTTTGATTTCATGGATCCTCCATCAGATGAGAGCATGATCAAGGCTCTTGAGCTACTTTACGCCCTTGGTGCTCTAAACAGCAAAGGTGATCTCACTCGGATTGGCAAGTTGATGGCAGAGTTTCCACTCGATCCAAAGCTTTCGAGGATGCTGATTGCTGCTGAGAAGTATGGTTGTGCGGAAGAGGTTATGACGATTGCTGCCATGCTTTCTGTCGATAATGCGATTTTCTACAGTCCCAAGAATCTGCAGGCAATGGCTGAGAATGCGAAGAAGAGGTTTGAGGATGGTGACGTTGGAGATCATATTGCTCTTCTTAGGGTGTATAATTCGTGGAAGGAGACAGACTTTTCAAGTGGGTGGTGCCGTGAGAATTTCATCCAGGCGAGGAGCATGAAACGTGCAAGAGACGTTAGAGATCAGTTGATGAACCTCATGGAGAAGGCAGGTATCGAGTTGAACTCGAATCCGAATGACTTGGACGCGATAAAGAAGGCGATCATGTCTGGTTTTTTCCCTCACATAGGGATTCTCCAAGGTTCTGGGAGTTACAGGATTCTGAAAGGTTTACAGAATGTGCAGATTCATCCCAAGTCCGGAATGGCGAGAGTGCAGCCGAATCCAAGGTGGGTTGTGTTTCATGAGCTCGTGCTAACTCGGAAGGAGTATATGCGGCACGTTTCTGAAGTGAAGCCCAAGTGGTTGCTGGAGATTGCTCCACATTACTATGAGAGGAAGGAATTGGAGAAGTTTTTCCCTCGGCAGCTCTGAATTGAAGTTGAGCCACAAGTGGTTTGAATCCGTCGGTTTTTCCTCTTTCCGTTTGCCATTTTATGTTTGCCCATTGGTTTTGAAGCATATACAGTATGACGATGTTTTTGACTATTTTTCATTCAGCTGCAGCTTTCAGACATGCTTGACAAGGTTTATGATATCTACTCCTGTTCAATCATTGCGTATTACGATTCGTATTCATTTTGCGTATTAGTGATCTAAGGTTTTTGCATTATGTATGTAGCGAAATGTCGTTCTGGGATCCAACCAGCTTTAATGAAAGCCAAGGTTGAAGGACATTTCTTGGCGTTACAGAAGCCATTGCCTAAATCAAAGAGGAGGTTTGTATTTTGCAGCTAAGTCAAATCCCTGCTAAGGAAAAAAGAGCACTTTGTCACAGAAGTTCAAGTTCTTGAGAAAGGGGGTCTAACTTCTAAGGGAAGACGGGCAGGTAGGAGGCAAGCCCAGTATTTTCTGGTAAACCCATCATTATGTTCAGATTCTGTATAGCTTGACCAGAAGCTCCTTTCACCAAATTGTCAATCTGCAGCAGCACCAAGCGATTCGGGGGTTAAAATAGCAGCAGGGTCAGGCCTAGCGTCGTACTGAGAAACTTTGGAAATGTATGAAAAGAGTGAGAGTGAAGGAGCGAGACTAATGATACATACAACTGATATAATGATTGCTCTGTTAGGGATTCGATCAGGGAACACATTCATGTAACAGTAGTTAGAACCGCGGACATCGTGAGTTCGAGGAACCACTCCTTTCTCTAGAACTCTCACAAATTCTTCCTTCTGCAAAACAAAGGAAGTAAGAACGGTTATCAGATTTGTAATGAAGTCATGCACAATCACAACGGAGAACAATATGGATACCTCGTACGACAACTTCAATTGCTCGTATAACTCATCGACAGTGGCGCCTGGAGCCATCTCAACATATATTGTAGATTGCATTCCACGACTCTGTAAAAGTTCAGGGAAGTTGTTTAAGATTCTTTTCTTGTGAAGAATAGTGTGCTTGGTTGAAGTAATACATTTAGATCAGTTTGTTACCATTGGCATCAAGTGTGGGGTGAAACTGACTGTTACTTTAACCCCAGAAGCCTCAGATAAACCCTGTTCAATTTCCGGAACTATAGGCAAAAGGTAGAAGAAAATTAAATGCTCAATCAGATAACAATTCAAGATTCATTCAGTAAGTATGAATTAGTAGCTAAGCAACTTATTGATATCATGGAGCATAATTTTAAATCTCCATTTTCGGGCCTAGAGACTTACCATGTCGATGTTTTGTAACACCATAAGACATTATGCCTTCAGATAATTCTGTGTAGAGGTTACTCACTTTGGCACCACGTCCTGAGAAAACGTACCATAGCAAATAAGTTACTAAAGAGACCATGCACGCTGCAACATTAGAAGCAGAAATACACGTCAAGATAAGAAAATTTTAAACCTGCCCCACTGACTCCAGATTTTGCGTCGATGATGATATTCTGATCTCGGATGAGTTTAGCCTACAGCAATCAAAAACTGATTAGAGCTTGGTCGGAAATGAATATACAAACATGATAGCTTTGACCCAATCATCAAAATTGAAAATAATTGGCTCTCCTCCCAGTCAATTTATTTTATTCTATGTGGACATAAGAACACAAACCTTGATCAAAGGTACAAGAGGAAGCTGAATTGATGTTGGATAACACCCTGGATTAGCAACCAATCGTGCAGCTTTTATTTGTTCTCTGAACATTTCTGTCAAACCATATACAGCTTCTTCCTACATTCAGGTCAAGAACACATCAGCAAGTCATTTATACAATTAAGAGAAAGTACAATTTCCTTATCAAGGGTACGAATAGAACTTCGAACTTAACATTAATCTTTTGATTCAGCTGCACAATAACTTCTTCTTTGAACAATAAAATTTGTTATTTAGTATTTTGTCATTCGACAAGGACAACTCTATTAGAATCCCTTTAATGTTTCAGACAGAACACACACCAGAATATGTTAAAGTCACATAGATCGTGGACAGGAAGAAGGAGCACCTCCCTCTCATATGACTTGTGGAAAAAATGGATCGTACCTGCAAATCTGGTGCTTTATGTGCTTGGCCATACCATTGTTCATACTCCGAAATATCTTGCAGTCGAAAGTCCTGAAATTTATCAATAACAAATACTAAATTCACCAAGCAAGGACTTTATTGCCTTTGAACTGTAACGTGAAAAGGAAAAACAACATTCCGAGTGCAACAAACCATACGGCAGAAAGATCAACAATTTTCAGTCCATGTGGAAGGCCTTTAATAATTTCCTGTAGCAGCAACTCAAAAGAAAGGATATTATGTGACTGAAGATAAGGTTCAATTTAACATTGGCCCCTTCCGTGGGAAGGACTCGTTTAGTGGATCAAATGACCTAATTGAAATAAAGATGTACCTGTGTAGTTCCATGAGGTAAACAACAAAATACAGCATCCACATCTGAAAAGTCTGCATCACTAGTGGAAATCAAAGTCGGCAAATCCTGCAAGGTTATCAGAACAAGTGTTAATTTCCCTTATCCTCATTCATAGTTACTCAGAATCAAGATATACTTGCACCTTTTGGGTAACCAAGTGAGGGAACACTGATTCAATTGATTTCCCAGCATTTCTATCAGCAGTCATCAGACCAATCCCGAAGGAAGGATGATTCGCAAGAAGTCGGATTATCTGCCCCACGGAAACAACAAAACAACGAAGCGAGTTTCGCTTGTCAGTAATTCTTACCAAACATAGACATATAGGAAAGAATTTGCTCCAATTTACAGCCAGCTCAACAGATTGGACACAAATTAAACCTAATATTTATTCCAACAGATAACCCTTCCAATTTACAACAAACCATCCTAAGTCTATCCAAAATGAGGAAAAAGAAACACAAACCTCAGCACCGGTATATCCACTAGCACCTAGAAGAGCTACACGGACTTCTTTGTCCAGCTTTGAACATGAAATACTCAACCCTTTTGGGGAAACTACCGAGTGCCTTTTCACATTGAGCCGGTAATCTCCATTAGGCTTGTTGGTCTTCCAAATTTTCCCATCTCCCTAACATTCATTTATACACAGAGAGAGACGCAATGTCAGATGTTTTAAGCATTCTGTCTTCAGTTCCTTCTAAACACCAAGTTAGTCATATAAGTGGAAGAGCTCAATCCTTAAACGATACGATTTTCAAAATGTACATTTGCCTCTCATTTGACTAGACAGAAAAGAAAATAGAAAGGGAATTCGTACAGGGACAACATTACTAACCTTCCACCAGCATCCTCTACTACAGGAAACAGAGTTGAAAGTAGCAGCACTCATATCCCCTAGCTCCAAATTCTGCCAAATAGCAAACACACTTGAAACTGAACTTCACAAGGTTTAAGCAAAGATGATCTCTTAAAATCGCAGCTACCCTTAAGGTACTGAGCTTCCAAGACTGTAGAGCTCGGGACTACTTCCAAGAAAACAGCTCAGTAAAGGAAAAGTTGTTTTGTTTGTCAACAGAATTGGGAGAGCATCAATACATGGAGTTGGATTGATCAGTCTGCGCCATACTCATTTGGTATCACTGTCAAGATAAGCAAATTTATACTAACTTGTGCTTTTTCCTATAATAAAAGCTGTCGACTGTAACTCAAATTGTCGTCCTAATTTTACTGCGAATTCAACTCCGGGAAATGAGCATAATCGGATACACGATACATGTGCATTGCCATTAGCAGAAGATAAGTCGGAGAGACAGAGGCTGACGAACTTCAGCTGGAGAGAGGAGAGAGAAGAAGAAGGCCGGAAAAGGAACAAAAATTAACTTACGCCGGAGAGGAGAAAAACTAAGAAAGCAGCAGCCGCAGAGCGCCGGAGGAAAGGGGGTGAGGGGCTTCAACAGCGCAGAGGCTATACACGGCGGGAGGTGGATGCAGCAGAGAGAGTAGTCGCCGGAAGGGATCGCCGGAAGGGAGCGGCGAGAGAGAGTGTAGTATCTTCGATGGTTAGGTGAAGGCAGTTGAGACGCCGCAGTGGAGAGATTTTGCTGAGTAGGTTTTTGGTTTGTCACGCTCACGCGCTTTTTCTAATCGTTAACACACCTGTACGACCGGTCGGGCCGGCTCGGGTTCTGTCCGTTTGGAGGTTGGACCGCCAAGTCCGGCCCGAGTCTGTTGCTACCCAGGCACCGTAATTTATGCCCGACGGCGACTTTCAAGTCTCAGCACAGTCAGAGTCTCGGAGAAGTGATTTTGCTGGCGCTGGCTTTCCTGTCCTGCTTCAGCGATTTGCGGGATGGAGGGTTCAGAGGAGATGGTAGTAGCAGTGATCATGGTTGGAGGACCCACCATAGGTATTGGAATCTGAAACGAAGAACATCCCTTTTCTCTTGTTTCTTCTTTCAAAGAATCGAATTCTTAGTTGTTCAATCGAAATTCATAGTCAAGAGTATCAAATGTTGAATCTTTTTTGGGCTGTTCTCATTTTTGGTAGGTACACGGTTTAGACCACTCTCATTCAACGTTCCAGAGCCACTCTTCCCCTTGGCTGGGCACCCTATGGTTCATCATCCCATTTCTGCTTGCAAAAGGGTAAATCAGGCTTCTTTCCCTTGTGCCCTCCTCTCGTGAGGGAAATTGACTATCTGGGTTCTCATTGCTGTTGGTTTTTAGATTAGGAACTTGGCTCGAATTCTGCTTATTGGATACTATGAGGAGAAGGAATTCACTCTGTATGTTTCTTCCATCTCCAATGAACTCCAAGTTCCAGTGAGGTAAAGCCTATAAGCTCCCTTCTTGTGTTCCCAAGTTGTAGCATTGTGAAAAGTAAAATGTGGATCTCTTCTTATGTCCTTTTGCTTATTGGGGTTTGGTTCATTTCATCATTCCAGGTACTTGAAAGAAGACAAGCCACATGGTTCAGCCGGGGGTCTTTATTATTTTAGAGACATTATCATGGAAGATAGTCCGGTTTGAGTTCTCTCATTAGTTCATCTCTCTTCTTCTCTAATGTGAATATAAAGCGTATACTGATCTCTAAAAGTGGATTTTTGCATCTGTATATCTTCTTTCTTTGACAGTCGCATATCTTTCTACTGAATTGTGATGTTTGCTGCAGCTTTCCATTGCCAGACATGCTTGGTAAGTTCTATTTATTCCTGTGATCCTGTCATTTTTTGTTATTCTCAACAGTTGGCTAACTGCTTCTTCATTTCCATTTACTGAGAAGCTTGATCCCTTTAGTATACTATTCTTTCAGTAACCCTTCCTTTCCAATTTTTGGAATTTTCAGAGGCTCATAGAAAATATGGTGGGATGGGAACACTACTTGTGATCAAGGTTTCTGCTGAATCAGCAAATCAATTTGGTGAACTTGTTGCAGATCCGAATACGAAAGAGCTGTTGCATTATACAGAGAAACCTGAGACATTTGTATGTGCTTGCTGTAGTTTGCATTCTGCATAGTGTTTTGTTTCTTGGTTGAGTTAATTCTCCTATACCATCTGAATGCAGGTCAGCGATCTGATAAACTGTGGTGTCTATGTGTTTACACCGGATATCTTTACTGCGATTGAAAGTGTGTTCGCAAACCGAGAAGACAGAGGTGGTTTTGATAGTGATTAGATATTGGATTCATTGTTTAGCTTGGTAGGCGATTTTGAACGTTTATAGCTCCTAACTGTTGACCTGCGATGTTGTTAATGACAGCCAATCCCCTCCGTGACACCAGCTTTGAGTCGTTATATTCTTCCACAAGGTTGGTTATCTTATCATCAGCTTCATCCTTATTGTAACTTGCAAGGAACAAATGCTCATTGCTTTTGCTTTTGAATCTGACATCTACAATTGATTATCAGAACCAGTGTTCCAAAGGGCTTTGTAAGGTTGGATCAAGATATTTTGTCTCCCCTTGCTGGAAAGAAACAATTGTATACATATGAAACAACTGATTTCTGGGAACAAATAAAAGCTCCTGGGTAAGGGTAATCATAGACTTGATCATTCATTTAAACTCTAGCCCTTTGGGGCTTGGACCTAACGGTACAGGTTTCTGATCATAGTCTAAAATGTTGCAGGATTTCCTTGAAATGTTCGGCATTGTATCTCTCTCGATTTCGTGCAACAGCTCCAGGTCTTTTGGCTAGTGGAGACGGGACAAAGAAGGCCAAAACAGTAGGCGAAGTCTATGTTCATCCATCTGCAAAAGTGCATCCTACAGCAAAGGTACCGTTGTGCAGATCCATTATTTCTGAGTAAAATCTAGTGAGGTACTAACCAACTGCTCTGGATTGCTTATTCGTACAAATTCTCTTGCTTAAATCTTCTTCAGTTAGTCACAGGATTAACATCTCATTTGTTGGGTTGGTCATTTGTATAGATTGGTCCAAATGTCTCTATTTCAGCAAATGTTCGAGTAGGAGCAGGAGTGCGGCTGATAAATTCGATAATCTTGGATGATGTTGAGCTTAAGGTACCGTTTCTGAAACCATGAATGCTTGATTAACACGCGAAACTCTTTATCGAACAGATGACTTAACTATAAGTGGTGTACACACAATCTGACAGGAAAATGCAGTTGTCATTAATTCTATTGTGGGCTGGAAATCGTCTTTGGGAAGATGGGCAAGAGTTCAGGGTGATGGAAATTATAATTCGAAGCTTGGAATATCACTCCTTGGTATTCTCTCTGCTTGGTCTCCCTTCTTTGTCTATTTTCTTTTGATGGATGAATCCAGTTCGAAATACATGTGATGATACTTTCAAAATTGCAGGAGAAGCAGTGACTGTGGAAGATGAAGTAGTGGTGACCAGCTGCATAGTTCTTCCAAACAAGGCGATTAATGTCAGTGTCCAAGAGGAGATCATCTTGTAAAACAGGCAGTAGCAGCTGATTCGAGTTATGGGTTTTGCTTTGGGTCACTCTCGAAAGCCTAATGCTGGATCTTGTTGACGCAATCTTTCAGCTATGTCGTGGACCGGAACTATAGGTTGAAAACAGGAAACCGTTTTCTTGTCTCGTGTTTTCTCTCGTTGGAATGAGGAGTGATTCATTACATTCTGATCTTCAAAGATACAGAACGACTTGCAGAGGCTGAAGGTTTGATAGTCTGGGTTAAATTATTAGTCGTTCAACTTGACTTAAGTTACTAAGTTAGCCACTGACTAATTGTTTAGTTGCTAGGTTACGATTGGGGTGTTGATTTGATTTCAGTTTTTCGGGTTTTGTATCTGTTACAAATGATTTCAGTTTTTCTGGTTTTATATATGTTACGAAATAGCATAACAGTCCTTTCTTCGCCTACAAGTATCATCTTAGACCAAGTACAATGACTGATTTTGTTAGTGATCTTAATTTAAAGTGAAGAAAAGGAGAAAAGTCACCACACTAAAGCAAATTTCGAGCTAAAGTTTACTTTCAAAATCACCTCAATGTATGTATGAATTTTCGTAAGATCTCGGAGTTCAAACCATATCCAATGTACAAGAAGAGGGGCAACATGCGAGGGAGAAAGAAAGAGAATCATGTTCATATCCTGTCCTAGTAAGCACACAAAACTTTCTGGAAGGGAGACACAAGTACAAGTTAGGTCTCCCCAAATTGATGCCTCAAAATTTTCTTCAACCTATTGTGTACAAAAGAGAGAAAAGGAGTAGTATTTTTCCCCTCCGCACAAGGGAGAATCAATCCTGATCATTCAACCTCCAAGCTAACTTGACGTGCTACTTTCATGTACATCTCGTCCTTCCGAGAAAACGAGACATACTTGCCCTTCACCATACAGCAGCTGTCGCTCGACTGCCTGCCATGGTGGAGTATACAGGAGGACATCTGAAGCTCTGATGATCATGTTCAGAAATGGCGCACTGAAAGAACAGTAATACTCAGGACATCCTTTTCTTACTCTACAGGTTAGGCCGCAACTCTAACTTGTAAGCTTGAATCTCCATGGGCGAGATGGCAACACGACCATCCCGAGTCACCTCTCCAGCCTGATCACTATACCCTAGCATCTCGACATCATCATGAAGGAGATTCAAAGAAGTCGCTTCAGCTTTTGACACTGAGAACCCCTCGAAGATGTTAAAAAGATTGACCGGTTCATCGGCCATCCTCGTGCACTGTGACGACCCGCCTCTGGGGCAGTAGGAATCATCCCAATGCCACCTCTGAAAGATCAGAATGAACCTCGGATCTCTGACAGGCTTTGGATCTCCGCTGAGTTCATGGGAAAACAATGCTGGCCGTGCAACTTTAAAGTTCACAATGTGTAAGTCGCACGGCAGTGAAGCAGATAGAGGAGAGAATGATCTGCCGTGCGTCTGAAGAGATAATTCCTCTGATCCCTTGGAGATGAAGGCAAATAAGGGGTAGTTCAAGTGTGAATTAATGCGGTGTGAGAGAAGGGATGGGCTCAAAGGCAGTGGATTGCTGACTGGATTTGATGCGGTTGAAACATTGGACTCGAAGAGCAAGTGAAATACAACGTTCATTGGCCGGTTATCTGTCACCCCCTGCCCGAGCCCACGACCGTCATCTCGCAACAACCGACGGTCAAGCATAATCTCCAACCATCCGTCTTTAAGACTCGCCACACCTAGAGACTGTCTGGAATGGATGGAGAATCTGTGACCCTTGGGTCCTTGTATGAAGGCAAGCGAAGGCATGGGATAGTAGTTTCCTTGCAGTGGAATCTTGTCATAAGTTTCCCTGCGGCTCATCTGAAACCCATTCAAGTCCGAGTAGAATACCTTCCCATTATCAATATCCGTTTTGTACCGGACAATCAATTCGCGGTCGTTGAACTCGTCGCCAAGAAGCTCAACGTGATATTCAGTCTCTACGGCGAACTCTTGTACAGTGTCAACACCTCCATTGTAGACACGTGTACTGTGGGAGACGGGATGCCTATGATATGCTGTGTATGGGTACGAGAAAAGCTCCTGCATTAGTGGGCCTTCGGTAATGACTGTAATCCCACCGTTCTGAATGATGGATTGAGCATCTCCGATGGGTCTAAACAAGTAGGCCCCACTGCCGTAGCTAGTGTACATTGCTATTTCTTCTCCAACTAAATAGGTGGAGCCGTTCTTATGTTGTACCTTCTGCAGCAACCCATGCTTGACGTCGAAAGTGAGAACTTGTTTTCGGTTTTGGATTTCAGCAAACTCAGCTTCCGTCTTCGAACAAGCATACGGTGAGGGGCAAGAGAAGGAACTGGAAGAAGTAGAATAGTACCTGAGTTTTGCTGGTCGAGCTTTTTCACATCCCACGAAGCCATTAGCGATGTAGTATGTTTCGAGTCCCATTGCTGGAACAGAAGCTTTCCAGTGAAGACGGTGGCGCCCACTGAACACATTACTTCCATCATGCCGCATCTCAGGAGAGACTTGACTTGGAACACAAGTCCAGTTGGAGTCCAGAACGGTGACTTCTGGTCTATTCACAACAACCATCACAACCTCTTCTCTTGTTTGCTCCGTGGGGTTAAAGAGAACCACCGACTGGGCAGTTCCCTCACGAGGACTCAAGGATTTACGCACTGGTTGAGCATTGTACTTGGCCCTCACTTGTTCTGATTCAAACTTAGCCGGATTCTGATCAAGCTTCTCAATGTGCATTCCGAGAAGCACTTCAATAGCTTTCGACATGAAAATCTGCAGGTCTTGTAAAGAGGTATGCATACGTGTTCCATAGTCATGAACGACATGATCCCTAGCTGTACCGGTTACCCCATCGTGATGTTGAAACAGAGCTAAGTTCCTTCTGGCAGCTGTCAACTTGTAGCTAAACCCTGTGACCAACTTGTCACACTGCTGTCTTTGACAATGACCGACGAACAAAGCCACCATCATTTCAGTAGCGCGTAATGTTTGCTCTAGAACACGATCAACAGCCTTGAAGAAAGGCCGTGAAACATAGTAGCCACTCCAGTAATCCTTCTCCCTATCAGCATAAGTAAAGAAGTCACCTGATAGAGAAGGAAACCCTCCAACTTGACTAGATCCAACTTCCCCAGGAAGTGAGTAGTTGATTCTGTCGGACTCTTCTCGAAGAGTTTGGAAGTAATCCTCCAGAGTACCGAATTTTGCCTCAGCATTCAGACTAGGGCTGGAGTTGATGTGGTCGAACAACATTTGGTAATTACGAAATTGGGCCTCTGCTTCTTCATTGCTTATGTATCGGAAATCATCACCAAGAGGAATCAGCAGAGTATTGGTTCGGTATAATACTGACTTCTTCCTGTATTGATCTAGCAGCAATGTAGCCCTTTCGTGCACGTTTTCTGGAGTGGTCTCTTCTGGATTCTGGAGCCATGGGCATAACTCGTAGAAAAAGCCGTGGACTCGGGCAAAGTCAAACTGACAACAGATTGCAGGTTCAGGGCCACAAGTATGCGGGATATCGTAAGAGTAGAAAGGCATCATATGCACAAAGATATCAGTTGTTTCGCTTGCATCCCAGCTCTGTCGCCATACAAATTCTAGATTTTTGTGCAGAGCAAGTTCCTTCTTGAGCTCATAATGGGTCCTCTGAATCAACATATTCTCAAACCCCATACGACGAAGGAGATATGCCATAGTAGATGAATAACCAAAGGGATCAATTGCCCAAGAATTCTTCGGAATAACACCAATAGTATCATTCAACCACATGTTTCCTTCAGTAATCTGTTGCAACAAATTCAAGGAGCTCATCAGTTAATATACTTTCATATCATTCAAGCATAAGGTATGAACACAATTCATATTTGCAAAGATCTGCACGATAACACCGATTTTTTTTATGAATACAAAATACATATGAAGCAGATATTGATGTACCAGAACATTGTCATGCACAAAAGTATAAGTATACCAATGATAATCCAGACTGAAAAAGAACATCAACAGCTATCGAGCATCACAGCAACCACTTAGTGGAATACAAACAAACAAGTCCAAAGTCATGCACCAGCAGAAAATAAAGGAAATTAGTCATATCAAAGCACTGTATTTTCTGGGAAATTAATGCAAGAATCAGTACAGGTTGATTCTTATGACCCGCTAACATCACTTTATTTAACTTACGAGGAAAGAACAGCAGTAGGTTCTATTGACCATTGCTAAGATGAGGAATGGGAAAGGGATTCAAGAAAGCATTGTAGGGTTCTCTATGAATGAAATATTAGCTGGTGCTTATTGTTGAACCTATAATGCTACTGCTTTTAAAAATGCAAAGAAATAAACTAAAGAGCAAGTATCAAATGCATTGCTGCACGAAATATAAACTCAAAGTTCATTTCTTAACCTATACGCAAAAGTATCTCAAGGTAACATGGGGCATGAGCACATACCTGCTCAATTATTGAGAAGAAATGGGAATTCGCCTGCATCACACAAAGAAGCCAAATACCCATTATCAAGAAAGGGAAACAATCACCTTACTTGCTGGAAAAAAAAGGTGAAGTGGGATGTCAATCCCCAGTTATTTCAATCACGTACCTCATCATTCATCACCCAGCCACCCCCTACAATTTCTAACTGGCCATTCTTAACCAATTCCGTCAAAGATGCTCTTTTTTCCTCAGATGAATCTCTCCACCATTTCTCCAGATAAGACATCTCTTCCCATATGAACTTCCTCCGAGGGTCCTACAAGTCCCAAGCCAAATCAATCCAATAACAAAATGATTCAGAACTACTCACATTGTCACACAAACAGAAACTCATCATAAACAGCAAAGAGAAACAAAGCTAATTACAAGAAACACCCAATATACGTATAGGTTTAGGTCACCCACAATGCATTTCACCCCATAAAGTGAACACCAGAAGTTGTCATGCATTTGGCACCTGTTTAACTGTCAAGTGAACCCTCAAGCTGTCTAAATTCCCCTTAAACAGGAACCAGTTTCTCACACGTAACCAGCACTCAAATCACCTCCACCTAACGTAGAAGTTTCAGAAGATCTAATGCTCCCAAAAGTGAACCAATAATTGGATACCAAGAGGGCAAGAAGGGGGGAAATTAAAATGATCACCTTCGAAAGTGTATCAACAATGGTGTCGAGTATATGCCTGGACTGCTTCTCGTAATACTCATCCACAGTGAGCTTCCAACCAGGATCATTATGCGAATGAGGCACCACGAAAACCTTCAATTTCTCACTATCCCACTCATCCCCTTTATAGCTCACTCTCCACCCTTGCTTCCAGGGCCCGCCGTCCTTATCCTCGAACTCGATCTTATCGTACAAAGCTTTGGTAGTCAAATCCACAGTAGCACCTTTACTCACATCGTTCTCAACCGGCTTCCTCCTGACGCCGCCGCCCGTCGCCTTCCGCTGCTGCCGGACGGGACTCGCCCGCGATTTGAACGTCGTGGAGAAGAGGGGCTTGGGGAGGCCGAAGTGGACGATGGTGAAGAAGAGGAAGAGGAGCGAGATCGAGAGCGAGATTGTGAAGAAGTTGGTGAAGAGGAAGTTGATCACAACCCCGCGCTTTCTAGGTTTTCTCGATTGCAGCTTCGACTTGGCTGGAGAAGCAGAAGACGCAGAGGTCGGTAGAATCGACGATGACTGGGGCCGGCCCCCGCTCCCTCCTCCCCGGCGAGAACCAATGTAAGAAGACAACGGCATGTCTGTGTAAAAAAATCTCACTCCGGGAAACAGATGGGAGGAGGAGAGCAACAGAGATCTGAGTAATGGAGTGTCTGCCGGTGGATTAATGATCTAGCGGTGGTGTTCATCCATGGAGGATTAGACGGTGAAAAGTCCGAAGGGAAAGTGTCGGACGTCCGAGTCTTCTAAGTCAAGCGCTGCGGACGACAATCGCCATTGGTGAATTTTCTGTGACTGGCAATGGCTGAAGAACAAAAAAGTCAGATGGGAATTATAATTAACGGTTGTCTCTGTGTGTAATGAACAGACTAAGTACTAATTAGCAAATTAATTATAAATTTAATACTATAAACCGTCATTATCTATGTATACTGTTTTCTTTCAGAAAAGATATCACATTTACCCATTTTGGGTTGATTTTCCAAACAGTTCTGAAGTCCTTTTCTATTGTTTGAAGTTCTATTTTCTAGTAGTATACTGACTCGTACTTCATTTCCATATTGTGAAGGGAAAAACATGTTTAGTTATGTCAACAGAAATTATGATTTGTGATAGATACGATACCTTTTTGCAGTGCATGTGAAAGAAAATTGCAATTATTAGTTAGAATTTAGACAAACGTAGAGGAGGGGATGGTCTGTTCTTTTTATTCATTTCAGGAGTCAACTGGAATTTTTTTATTTTAAAAATGCATGCATTAAGATTATGTGATTTCTAATAATAATATTTTATTTTTACAACTAAAAAATACATTGTTTGATAAATCATAAAGAGTTAGATTTTTGGCCAATGCTTCAGGACAATATGAAACCTATTATATTTAAAATGGAGAAAATCTTCAGTGCACCGGGTGTAACACGTCACCCGTGCACCGCCCCAATAAGATACTGCCACGTATTTTATATTTTATATCCTTAATTAATATTCCAAGCAAAAGAATAGCGACAGAGAGAGGCGAATCCTCCTCCACCGCCACCGTCGACATCCTCTGCGACCTTGAACTTCGACAAAGATAAATCATCTATATGCAGTAATAAAGGAAGCGCAAGAGCTTCTTCATACGGTGTAGATGGGACCGCCACGGATTTGGAATGGCTCCGGCGTCCGGGTTCGTCGAAGAGGCTAAAGAGGTTGATCGAATAATCGGAATCAAAATACAAATAAGAATTGAATTCGGTGTTGTATTAGTGCAAATCGTGGAGACAAGGTTGAGTTCGACGGTGGACCGGGGCCGTCCTTGAAGTTGGAACAACTACGAACTTCGGAATTACAATCAATCTCGCGGTAGACGTTTCGGATGTGGAGAAGGAAGCGTAGAGTCGATGTTGATGGGAGGTGGGTTGAGATCGGATTGAGGTTCGGAGAAGGGAAGGCGATGCGGGAGATAATTGATGCGCAAAGTACGTCGGCAGTGGCGGTGGAGGAGGATTTGCCTCGCTCACTCCGTCGTAATTCTTTGCTGGGCTGGGATATATCAGACATTTAAACATTAATAAAATACGTGGCAATATTTTATTGGGGCGGTGCACGGGTGACGTGTTACACCCGGTGCACTGAAGATTTTCTCATTTAAAATGTCACCCACCTATTTTGTAATTTTGTTGAAATAAAATTATTTACAAAATAATTCGATTAAATTCCTTCCATAAGCTTTACGTAGTATATTAATTAATATAATTATTAAGGAAGACTTCCATAGACTTATTAGTTAACAACACGAATAAAAATGTTTGTGCTACTTTGTGTACTTGTGTTTTGCTTGCAGAATTAATCATCGTCATGACTTCTCGCTTTGTGGGGATCAAGTCTGAATGTAGCAAAGAAACATCAACCTCCGAAGGATGGAAGAGTAATCGAGGACCCGGGGGAAAGAAAAAACAAAGGGGACGCTCTGTAATCGTCTCTGTGCGGCTGCCGGTTCTGGTTTTTCCGCCTTAGTGCGGCTTTGTTGCCGATTCCCCCCTCCGTCTTGGTGGTGGGATTTTCGGATTGTGCTCTACTCCCTGACACATCTCAATCCAGAGCTCTCTCATTCTCAGTTTGTTTGTCTTCCATTGTGGTGGTGGTAGTGGAATTCGATGATGCGGCCATGGCGGTGGCGTTTCTCGATGTCCGCCACGGACTGCCGGTGGCACCCGTTCTGATGCCAAATTCTGTTGGAGACCATGGGAGAATTCATCACGGCGTTGGAGATACAGTTCAAGGCCGATGGCAGCCCTCAACGGCGGCGGGACGATCCGAGGTGCAGTTCCGTCGAGTTCCCTTCAGACGGTTGGCCTTTACACTTTTTTGCATTCCCCTTATCATAACTACACATTTTTTAATTGAATTTGCTGCTTTCTAAAGTCTAGTCTTTCTAAACTTCTTTTGCTTGAGAGATGCAATGGATTGGTGCTTAACCCGAGGCATTGTCTCTGTTTGTTTATGTGGTGATTCGTAAATGGTGATTCAGCGAGTAACGGAGAATGTCATAGAGCATGATCGGGGGTGGAGCAATCCTTGAGGAGGTTCGGCTGCTGAAGGCTTCGTTCACGTTTATTCGATTTGTTTGTAGAACTAACAGGGCTGCTCATTGCGTGGCGAAAACGGCTCTTGCATCGGTTAATCAGCGTTTGGCTGATTTCCGCTATTTATTTTTCACTTCATTGTAATTCCCTATCTATTAAATATCTACCTTAGTAAAAAAAAAACACGAATAAAAAAAAAAGACTATTTGTCTTCCTACGTGAGCATTTCCTATCAGCAGAGCAATGCCATTGCCGAGTGATCTAGCTTTGCATGCTAGTCAATTTGAACAAATAATTGAAAATGCATAATTTGTCTTTGCACTAATCAGTTTGAACGTTTTAATTAACTTCTTAAACGCCCCATAATTGTGATTTTGAATAGGAAGAATAATGAAGAAATGAATGCCTTGAAGGAGACGTTTTCACCCTTTTCCCCATTCAAAACCCAACAATGATGTGCCTGCAGCAATAAACCAACCAAACTCTCTTCCTCTACCAAGGTCCAAGGTTCTTCTTCTTCTCCATCATCTATCCTAGCTTCACTGTAGCCTCTAAATTCCTCCTTCCCCTGTGATTCTCAAGCTGAGTGTATCCAAAGGTCGAAAAATGGCTAATGACAACAAGAAGCCAGAGCAGTTACAGCCACATCCAGTGAAGGAACAACTACCTGGAGTCCAATACTGCATCAACAGCCCTCCTCCATGGCGTATGCATCTCCCCCTCCCTTTTTCCTTTCTTGTTTCCCAAGTTTTCTTAATCCAAATTGTCCAAACCGTGTGTATATGTTGACAATCTTGATATAACTTGCAGCTGAAGCAATTGTGCTTGCATTCCAGCACTATCTCCTCACACTTGGCATCACTGTCCTGATACCCACCTTGATTGTTCCTCAAATGGGCGGCGGAAATGTAACTCTCTCCCAGTAATCATCTTTCTTCCTCATTTGATGTCAATGAGGGACTGACGCTGTTTTTTCTTTTGTGTGCAATGTAGTTTGAGAAGGTGAGAGTGATACTGACATTGCTGTTCATATCAGGAGTGACCACTCTCTTGGAGACACTATTCGGTACCCGGCTTCCATCCATTGCATCTGCTTCCTTTGCCTATGCCATACCAATCACCTCCATCGTCACTGCCGATCGATTCCAGTCCATTGCAGACCCTCATGAGAGGTTTCTGCAAACAATGAGAGCAATCCAGGGTTCTCTCATCATCACTGGCTGCTTCCAAGTAGTCATGGGGTTCTTGGGTCTTTGGAGAAACACTGCCAGGTTTGGCTGCTGCTTCTTCCTCTCTTCTTTTCCCTTGTAGAAATTTCTTCCGTGTGTTTCTTTCTCATGGATTGATTATCTTTATCACAGATTTCTTAGCCCACTTTCTCTTGCTCCATGTGTTACTTTTTCTGGGCTTGGACTCTATTATCTTGGTTTCCCTGCTGTAAGCAATTCTGAAATCTCTTTCCATGATATAATGCATGCAATATTGGGTCTGAATCTCTTTACATTGGTAGTTCATTCTTCACCTTCTATTGTAGTTGGCAAGATGTGTGGAGATTGGGCTTCCACAAGTCATCATAATGGTGTTCATCACTCAGGTAGATTATAACTTGTTCCCATCTCAGTTCAATATTCCCTTCTCCTTCCTTCACTGCTTCACATCTACAAGCCAATTACTGCTTTCATGACAATAAAAAAAATTGCAGTATCTTCCACACTATGTGAAGTTTAAGAGGCCACTTTGCGATCGATTCGGGCTGCTATTCTCGGTCCCTATAGTATGGCTGTTTGCTCAGCTCTTGACATCAAGTGGAGTCTATGACCACAAATCTGTTGTCACCCAGTTGAGTTGTCGCACTGATCGATCTGGATTCGTCTCTGCAGCTCCTTGGTAACTACTCAAAACCAACTAAGTTTTGTGTTTCTGGTACTGGTGTTTGACACTCTTCTTTGGCAGGGTCTTTATTCCTTCCCCATTTCAATGGGGAAGCCCCACATTTAAGGCTGGAGAAGCTTTTGCAATGATGGCTGCTTCCTTTGTTTCTCTGTTTGAGGTGAAGGCTGGAGAGACACACCCTTCTCTGTTCATCACCTCTGTATTAGAAAAAATCTAACGAATTTCGTGTCCGAATTGCAGTCAACTGGTACATTCTATGCAGCAGCTAGATATGGCAGCGCCACACCTGTCCCTCCTTCAGTTGTCAGCCGTGGCACTGGATGGCTGGTGAGTTTTTACCTTCTTTACTTGTCCAACTTCCACTTAATGTTGATTGAAGGGTTCTTATTGTTGGGATTCTTCAGGGATTTGGAGTCCTGCTGAATGGAGTATTTGGCAATGTGACTGGCTTTACAGCATCAGTGTAACTATATTGCAGTCTATAATCAACCTGACACCTCTAATTACCTTTGTAGCTTTGATCTCTTTACGTCCATGGGGTTTCCTGAGTGGGAAATTTATTGTTGTTATGAAGGGAAAATGCAGGGTTGTTGGCTCTTACTAAAGTTGGGAGCAGAAGGGTAATCCAGATATCAGCAGGATTCATGATTTTCTTCTCTGTATTTGGCAAATTTGGAGCCTTTTTTGCATCCATACCAATGCCAATCATGGCAGGCACATACTGCATCCTCTTCTGCTATTTCTGTAAGTACAAAAAACCCAAGCTTTCTTGTTTACTCAACATTCAACCTAGGCTGCTAAGCTTTGACAAATTCTATATCAACCTGATCACAGCATCAGCAGGGCTTGGCTTCCTCCAATTCTGCAACCTCAACAGTTTCAGAACAAAGTTCATCCTGGGCTTCTCCTTCTTCATGGGCATCTCCATTCCACAATACTTCAGAGAGTACTTTCAACTCACTTCTCATCCTCACTCTGGTTCCAGATGGGTAAGTATGCCCACCGTCCAGTGATATTAGTCGTCCAACGATATCAGTACGTGCTAGTTAGACCCAAAATTCAGAAGAGAGACTGACTTTTTTTGTGTTTTTTTTTTTTTTTGTGACAGTTCTATGATATAGTGGTGATCATCTTCATGTCTCACACAACAGTAGCTGCCTTGATCGCCTTGTTCTTGGACTGCACTCTCACAGGCGAGACCACCGACGAGGAGACGAGGAAAGACAGTGGGATGAAATGGTGGGACAAGTTCATTCAGTGCAGCTCGGATATAAGGAGTGACGAGTTCTATTCCTTGCCCTGCTGCCTTAACAAGCTCTTCCCAGCTCATTAGAAGCATGAACTAGCTAGACAGACTCACAGACATTTGTTCTTCCCTCGTTAAAAATTTACATTATTTTGTATCCCACACAAAATTTCTTATGATATTGAGTTTAGATAAAGAACGTAAATTTGTTTGAACCCAAGCTTTATATTACTCACTTAAAACATGGGAATGGACAATGTTGAGCTAGGAGAATAAAATATCGCTTAAAATTATTTTTTTTCTTCATTTTAGTCTAAATAAATATGAAAATTGATAACTTGTGAAAAAATATAAATATTTTAAATCAAAAAATGCCGATTGGATAGCAATGTGGGTGTGGCTGATTGTCCGTTAGTTAATAATCTTGACAATCCAACATAACAATCAGCTCTCAGATTTGACTAATTAAGTAAAATTTAGAGTTATTTCAGACTACACTATTATAAATTTTTTTTTTGGTGAAAACTGTTATAAATTTATAAATTTGAAAAAAATAAGCAAAAAGTTCTGACCGGGGATGGCAATGGGTCGGGTTGGGGCGGGTTTTGCCAAACCCAAACCCATGGGTTTATCTGCCAAAAAAACCCGGGGTATCCGCGGGTTCGTGGGTACCCGTGGGTTTTTGTGGTAAAAAATTTACAATAACAAGTTTCTTTCAAAATAAAAGTTTAACATTAATTTTCTCATACAAATTATTCATACAAAAAACACCAATCTAGAGTATAAAAGCAAACCGCATATGATCAATACAAATTGTTCAAAATTAAAGATAAACATCTATAAACAATAAGATTAATTGAAAGCTTCTTACTCGTCAACTAAGTTTCTTCACTCTCCACTTTATAATATCAACTTCATTCTAAACAATTAGAAACAACAAATTATATATCTCCACAAACATAAAGAATATTAATTGTTTAAGGAAGATATATTATTTAGAATATTAAATATACCGAGAAAGTAATTATATGTGTGTGGGCGGGTACCCATGGAGTGTGTTTACCTAAATCCAAACCCAACCCGACCCAGTGAATAGTGTAACAGGTTTAAACCCGAACTCGGCCCAAACCCTTCAACACGGGTTTTACCCGCGTTGACCAGATTAGGTCGGGTGGGTACCCGTGGTTTCGGATTTTGTTGTCATCCCTAGTTCCGACTAGCCAAAAATATTAACTAGTCATACCCAAGTTACACAGTAATTACTAGGCCCGAAATAAGTACGAGCCCATCAACTTGCAAGCCCATTTCACTAGTTTTCACGGCGTTCCACCTTCTTTGCTTTCCCTCGCGCGAAGCCAGTCACCGCCGTCCGCAACAGCAGAGCAAGTTCCCTCCTTCTTCAATCTTCATCCCTCGCGCGAAGCCAGTCACAGCCGTCGAAGCTTTTCTGTAGTGTAGGAGAATTTCGAAGTTTCCGGTTCTCAGATATCAATATTTTATCTGTTGAGTTCCGGATTTGGCACATTTGACGGACGAATGGAAGGCGCTAGTGCCAAAGGAGATAGCATGGAAGAGCTCAAGGGACTTCGAATTTCTTCCCTCGACAGTGATAGTGAAGAAGACGCTGCTGTCGTGGAAGAAAATCGCAAAGCAGTGGACGTGGAAGAGGAAGACGATGAAGACGAGGACGAAGACCTAGAACCAGTCATGCTTGGGTTTCTGGAGAAGCCTGAGCATCCTTGGTCTCTACTCCGGCAGTCATTCCCTAGCAAAGCTGGGGGTGCGCCGGTACGTTGGTCATCCTTAACCTAATTCTCTATCTCGCTGATATTCTGCTAGAAACTAGAAAGTTCGGATTTTTAACTTTTAAGTGCTCAAGTGGAAAATGGAATGGTTAATTTTTGTCACAGGCGTGGCTGGACCCTGTTAATTTACCCACCGGGAGGCATTGTGTCTGTGATATATGTGGAAAGCCTCTTAGATTTGTGCTCCAGGTTAGTTGCTTATGCTCACCTTCATATGGTTTTGTAAAATTGGAACACTTCATTTTGCGATGGTTGTTTTTTCCTGTTCTTCCTTGTGACTGTATAGTATCTGTGATTGACTGAGTAGGTCTATGCACCGATAACAGAGAAGGAATCTGCATATCACAGAACGTTATTTGTGTTTATGTGCCCGAAAATGTCTTGCCTTCTCCGTGATCAACATGAGCAATGGAAGCACAAGCCTGAGCAGCCATCCCGAAGGTACTTAATTTCATAACCCATCATTTGTCCATGTTACATCCATTCACATTCTTTTTAATGAAATACATAGAATTTAAGTATATATTTGTCTGGTGACACGATGTTTTTCCGAAGTGTGAAGGTTTTCCGCTGCCAAGTGCCTCTGTCTAATCCTTTTTACTCGAGTGAGCACTCGAAAAATGATGGTACTGATAGACCTTCTTCACCTGGAGGTATTTCATTTCTTGACCTAGAAGTTTACTCTCTTTAGTATCTCTTAAGCGTGGGCAAAACTGTTTTTGTGTGGATCACGGCTCTTATTGTATTCTGATGTATGCTCCTTATCCCTTATTTGAATTGATTCAGCTGTTCTCTGTGATCGTTGTGGTACTTGGAAAGGGGATAAACTTTGTGGTCGATGCAAGAAAGTACACTATTGCTCTGAAAGACACCAGGTAATAAGATATTTAAAGTAATTTTAAAACCTTGCTAAACAGCTAGATGCTCTATTGGTGACTATTTTTTACTCGACATCCGTACAGCGGAAGGATTGGAAGTCTGTTCATAAATATGAGTGTCGGCAAGTGGACAATTCTCTACAACTATCCAACGCTGGCTCTAGTAATGGTGGAACCATCAAAACTAAAGGCTAGTTTTTATCACTTGACTCTGGGAGGCTATGTGAACTCATGTATACTCAAAGATTTCATAGTTTCAAGCACTTTTGGGAAACACATAACGTTTTTATCGCGCTCTCTAATCATAAATGATCTTCCTGTGGTGCACACAGAATGAATTGCGTTCATTGCTAGTTGACCTTTGGAATTCGAAGTAACCATTTTTAACTGGTATATTATTCACAATCGACCAACATTTCATGAGTCAAACAAACCCAAGGGTTAGAGATGCCAAAGGAAATCATGAAGCATCTTGTGCCAATATTGAGCTTTATCTTTGGCCAGTCTGGTGAGCTTCTCTCATAAATCATAATAACAGTTTTCATTTTATGTTACACAGTTCTTACCAAAAAGCTGTGGCCAGAGTATGAAATAGTAGATGAGGATGAAGGTGAATTTGGGGCAAAGGTGACTGATGATTCTCAGAACAATGCCATGTCACTTGTATCCAGGGGCAAAGCGGATGACTCAATGGATTCCATAATCGACGGGTTTAAGGTTTCAATTTCTTCCCTTTTCGAGTGAGATATGTTGATCCTTGTATTATACCTGTGGGGTGACTTTATTTTTTATGAGCAGATGGATATTGATAAGAGGACGTTTGCAATTTTTGAAGAGCGCAGATCCAGAGCTCCCGATCAAGTGCTGAGGTATTACGATTTTATCATTTGAAGTGAGAACTAGAGTTCCATAATCTGATTTCTAGATGCCCAATGTCTGAACCTCCTTAACTGTAGCATGGTTCCATTCTTCCACACGAACTAAAGTTTCCTTGTTTTGTCTCTGGAACTTTTATAATGGTGTCAGAACGCTTGTTCTATAATCATCATCCATAATTCAAGGATACTCTGCAAGTATGACTTGCTCCTTTGAAGTCGATTCTACCTGTAAACAATGACTAGACGTGTGATTAGAATTTAGAAGTCGTAAGTGTACTATCTATCCTTGATACCGTTGAGTTGAATTTAACATTTGATTCTTGCATAAAGCCTTAGCCATAGCTGTGTTTGTGTACTTTCTTGATTTGCCATACTCTTACACTTAAGTTGACTTGAACCCTAGCATTGTAATTTGAATTTCATATTCTAATTATTTCTTTGTTTCCGAGTTGATCGTGAATGGCTTTCTAGTGTTAACTGTGTACATAATTTGCACTACGATGAAAAAAGGAGGGAAAAGTCTGATATATGTGGATTGAAATGCCACAGGTATTGCAGGAGTTCGACTGCAAAACCCCTCTGGCCGATGTTCAGTGGTCGTCTACCCAAGGCTGATATTCCCAGTTGCAAGCACTGTGGTGGCCGTATGATCTTTGAATTTCAGGTGCGCCAGGACTTGACCATCTGTAGCTCATAGTTGGTTAACTAGTCATTCTCATGTCTTGCTCTTGCCGCGTGATATTCTCTTGTTCATCACTTATCACTTTTTATTACTTTGTTTCTGGGTTCCAGATCTTGTCTACTTTGCTGTATTACTTTGGCGTTGATAATGGGAGGGACTCTCTCGACTGGGCTACCATTGTGGTCTACACTTGCGAATCCTCCTGTGATGCCTCTGTTGCGTACAAAGAAGAGTTTGTTTGGGTTCAACTCTACTGATTCCCGCACTCTGGCGTCTTTCTTAGAGCAGTGTGTTGATAGCTCTTTCCCCCTCTTAGCTCTGCTGAATTTTCGAGGGGAGAGATTACCACCTCTGACTCTGAGCCTCTTGACGTTGTGTCAGCTTGCAACTTCCCCTCTGAGAAACTATTCCAAAAATTGCCAGATTTGGGCTTTCGTTTCGAGTTGTACGTTTCAATCGTTGGGCTGTTTACCATAACAACTTTTTACTTCCCCTAAAAAGACCTTTGAGTTCTACTTACTAACACACCGGACACGGTTAATGATCAATATGGTCAATGTACTCAACTATATATCCAGAACACACAAAACGCTGAATTCTCATTTGGGATAACTGAAGTATTGAACCTGTATACAGTTTTGGCTTGGCTTGGCTTAGGCTAGGCTAATGTGTATCATACTGTAATACAACATATATACTCCATTGTGAAGAGCTAGAGGGTGCATGGGTTTTGGCTTGGTGGTGCACTGCCTAGAAAGGAATTATATTATTACTAGGTAGCTAGGTTAGGTGGAAGTCCATCTCATCACCAACCCACTAGAATATTATATAGTAAGGGAATTACAATGCAGATCAATTTATCATTTCTGATTATAGCACATACATATTCTTGTGGCACACAATTAAACAAGGTAAGAAGTTAGTGAGCATGACAACATATATAGTGTTGTTAAGTATATATATGTGGCCACCATTGCATTACAATTTACAAGTACATGCAGCGAGAGACCAGACACGACAGCCGCCTCATCATCATGTGACATGTGCCCCCTCGAATCGAATGTATGTTCTTAAGAATAATATAAAAGAACAAGAATCCTAATGGCCATGCGCTAGAGAAGACGAGAACCTAAAATACACGCACAAATTAAACTGGAAATAGTTTTACGTTTCGATAATATATTTTGTTTTCGTTTTCGGTTCTTTTGGCTTTAGGGCTTGGCTGGCTGGTAGCAGGGTTTTCTCCTTCTTGCTTCTCGACGTATCGAGACTTGAAACGGCATGGTGCAACCGTGTGTAGTAGTAGTACTACTGCTGCCTGTAACGAAAGAGTACGTTTTGCCATCTCTTCTGCTGCATCATCTTCATTTCTTTTTCCTTCTTTTCTTGATGAGGTATATGATTAATTAGTACCTCTGTGCAGCTCTGTTATGTGATGGAGGGGCGTACTGCATGTCGTGAGCGTAATTAATTCATGTTATTGGACTGAATGTTTGAATTAATTATCATATATATTAAAAATTATAAGGACTTGAACATCAGATTTTGCGGTCAAATTAAATTGAAAGCTGATCAATTATTATACCATTCCATGAATCGGTTCAACTAATTAAATTACTTGAGTTGTGTTGAGAGAGAAGCAAATTTGAATACTAGGAGATCGATTATTATAGACGGTAATATATACCTAAACCCTCGTTAACAATCAATGAGTTCATAAGAGTAGTTTAAATACGATGATGGCAATTTCAACATGTTTCGTTAGGTATTACCAGACTTGACACATGCTAATTCAACGTGTGATAACGTGAGGCAAGACACGAGTACTACTTCCGTCCTTCCCCCATCACGCTCTGTTCTTGACCCATGCTATCTTAATTTGTCTCGATATCTATTTTTTCTCCTATTTTGACTTATATTAACTCATATTTCCACACAATGATACTTCAAATAAGGACATCATTTTTCAGTGAATTGAATTCAATTAATCTACTTATTGTCGCTCTTTTTACATTTGATGTGAGATATATAGGATAAGTATTAAGGTGACCACTCCACTCCATTGCGAGCATTGTTTAAAGCGAAAACTGATATTATATATCCCACTATCTTTCTTCTTTTATTCAAACTATCTTGTCTTTTGCTTCTTTTTATATTATATATAATGGTGGTGTATTCGGTGCACCCACTTTTTCGGGTGCACTCAGTACACCCGCCTCATAATTGTCATTCTGACCATGCGATTCCTGTTAAAACGGTATCAATTGTTGCTTATGATATTATGAACAAGAACCACATGAATTTGAAAAAAATTCATTCAAAATTTACTTTAATTCGAAGGATTTAAGATTTAGGGATTTAGGGTTAGGGTTTAGGTTTACAATTTGGGATTTTGGGTTGGGATTCAAAATTGAAGGTTAAGGGGTTAGGGTAATGGATTGATTATTATGATTCTATGTCATATCATCATATTATATTGAGAGTACTAATTAAACTTAAGATTTGATGTATTATGGACACTTTTAGAGTTGGGTGCACTGAGTGCACCCAAAAAAGGGAGTGCGCCGAAATAGCCACCATAATATAATAATTATTCTTTATCTTTTCCTTTTACTAAATATCATATATGTGTTTAATCAAAATGGAGTATGTTTTATATATGCAAGTTATCATATCTGGGATGTCTATTATATTGCATCCGATTACCCTTTCCATCTATGGGATGATGAGCACGTAGGTACGTACCATTATACACTGGGTAATTAGCATAAATGGTAACAAATCTTTGCACTTAGTACAAAATGGCCACAAATCTTTAATTTGTAACAATACGGTAACAAAAATTTGAAATTGTATAAAATGGTCACCGCTATTTAATTTATGACCGTATTGTTTTAAGTGCAAAGGTTTGTTGCCGAATCGTTACAAATTAAATGTTTGTCATGTTTTGAGGTCGGGTAGTTTGTTCGTTAAGTATATGACACTAACCACTTGAACGACATATAAGATGTCAGGTCATGTGTTCATCGACATATTTGCTTTGCCGAATATAAGAATGCCCTCAGTTGACCTTTCAATTTCGATACCAAGAAAGTAAGAAAGTAGACATAGTTTTTTCAACTAAAAAGCAGTCTGGAACCCGTTTGTGAGCCATTGAATTCTCTCATTGTCCTATTTATACACCGATAACTAATAACACTATAACAGTCCTATTTATGTGTAAAACATACAATTTTTGATAGCTAGCTAGGCTACATGCAGCCTTACAGTAAAAAATTAATTAAGGTTCTAGCTAGCTAGCTACTCAATTACTAATAACTAGTCCTTATCTTAATAATTAACATGCAGTTTAATATATATAAAGTGAAAGTTAGATTACTGTTGCCTAAAACATTTACATTTTATACTCAAGTTTAATTAAATCACAACTTAGTCACTATAAAGTAAATTTTACATTTTGATACCCCAAAATTAATTTTAATGTAAAATCATTGAACAATTATGTTTTGGTATCTAAATTTTATGAGATTTTCGTACCTACATTTTTTTTAAATTTACATATTGGTCCAATGTTTAGATTTCACTTGAATCTATGAATCCAATCCATCAATCCTTTTGAACCAATCCATGAATCCAATCCACCATAATGCAAAAGTATAAATTTAGTTTGTACCATACAAGATGTTGTATCACTCAACTCTCAGAGAGGATTCTACCATTTTATATTTGCTCATTACGTGAAACATTAAATAAATGATAAAATAAAGACAATTCTAAAATATGGCAAGAGCGAATTTATAAGCCCATTTAGTACATTTTGCGGGGTACTAAACAAACTCATACTAACTACATGTAACAAAAATATGCGACATCTACATAACCAAGTGTCAATAAATTGCTACGGTGAAAGGGTTGAATGTTGTATTGACGACCAACTAAAAGAATTGGTCAAAACCTTTCCATCATCTACTTTCTTTTCGTTTCATTTTTTACTCGCCTTCCATTACCCTTTCTTTATTTCTTTATTTGCCTTCTTCGTCTAACCCTAATTAGTATACTATTTTTTTATATATTCTAATCACAAGTATGAACGGGTCCATACACGACTCACCAATAGTCTAGAGAACTAATATTTGAACCATGAACCACTAACTTTTCCAGCTCAATGTCGAGTCCAATTAAAAATAAATATACATGGTTATTACTTATAAGAATCTCGTCATTTTCCACTATGGGATTTGAAGGCGTGAAATTTTAAACGAGTTCCAGTTTGTATTCCTTTTACTTCTCTCTAGAGTTTTGCCTTTTCACCGGGCTAGAATTTTCAACAATTATACATGGAATGTTTGGCTAGGTATCTACACATATCAAATAAATAGTTTTCATTGTTCTATACAAAGATAAATAATTATCATCTCAAATACATCACCACAAAAGGAATTAAGCCTCGACTATGCAAATTATGGTTATATAGCTCAGGGGCGGAGCCAGGATTTCGAGACCGGGGGGGCCGAAAATAATTAAAAAAATTTATGTAACCAATGTGGATCAAACCCGTGTGCTATAATAATACACAAGTTAAGCTTGTCTACCATTAGACCACATAACTATTTGATGATATAATTTACAAAACATGTTCTACTTCTAAAATTTGTACGAAATATCCTTAAGAACCTAGGGGCCGGAATTAATCCCGGGGGGGGGGGGGGGGGCCACCCTAGCTACAATGTAGCTCCGCCCCTGATATAGCTAAACTTAATAGATCTTTATATTTATTTTTGGCATATAAGTCCTCAAAATATTGATTGAACATTATATTTTATTACTTAAAATTTTTGTGTATTACATTTTGGTACCTAAACTTTTGAAGTTCTACAAATAAGTCTAATTTTTGTATGTGTAATTAAAACACCCTTGAATAAATGGGTATCCATTCCCAACTAATACACATTTAGATTATGAAACTAAATATCCATACCCTTCTGAAACCCATCTACAAACTTGCAAGCCCATATATACGTCACCCGTCACCCGTACCCTACCCAAAATTTTCAAAAGTTTTTAAAATGGAGTTGACCGTCATATATCTCTTCTCAGTCAATATCATATTGTCAAGTCAATATTACTAACAAAAACTAATTTTAGGCTAATTATACTAATAAAGCACAATAACGGACCACATAATGCATGCTAATAGGCCATCTCCGCCTCGCGACAAGGCGCGGCATCGCCACCTAGTATATATATATATATACACATATTAATTAACAATAGAAATATTTTAGTTAATAATCGTATAGTATATATATATATCAATTTATTTCTGAAAAATCCGAGATATTATTACAAAGACAGATGAACACAAATCTCCAAGTAAATCACATCAACTATCAATTATGAAATTATTAGAAAAATACTCCAAGCATTAATTTTATATCATTTTCTCATTGACCTCCTAGCTTTACGGTCCAAGTCATGGCAACAATACACCCCACCAATCATCCCTTCTAGTGCTCATTAGAAAACCCTAAAACAATTATGCCAAAATCTTATAACAAAAGGGTGCATGTACGTGGTCACTGTTCACTAAATAATCAAGTTCTATAAACAGTAAACATTAACTCGAAATTCTGTCAAATCCACGTAGGCAACGTACTGATAGCACCAAAGCTACTGACGCGGAGAAAGACAAGAGAAAAAGAAAACAGATAAAAAGGAAGCCAGGAAACCCTAACCACTTGGACTTCGTGCCTTGGACCAGCTGGACCATATAGACAGACGAAAGTTGACGATGATCGGTCATCATGGCCATGCTGAAACAACAAAAAGACTGCCAGAATTGCATGCCACGTATTGGAGCAGCAACAAGCCACGTGTCCAGCATTGTCTGTCTACCATGGAGATGCACACGACGACTTGTCGTGTGGAAATTAAAACTTGTAGCAGAGAGCACAATGTATAATGCACAACAAGCTGACTCGAAAACCGCTGACGTGTGCATATAACTCCTGCTGCGCACTATCCTGGCCTGGCCTGGGTGGATGGATGACTGCTAATCCATTTGGCTAGACAAAAGTTGGTGTCTTCTTTTCCTCGCGGTCGCGAGGAAAATTAACCCTCGGTTTCCCCGACATATATGCACACTTTCGATCTTCATACAGTTACTTAATTAATAGCTCCTGTGGAACTGTAATAAGCACAAGCCTAGTGTAGAAGGAGTTTGAATATTATGCCGGCCATGCAATCTGATAAGTCTTTGACCCTTAATTTGTTTCACGTTTTTGAATTAATATGGCTTGGCTCCTAGAGTCTCGTTGGGTTGCTGAGTTGGATAGGGTTTGTGGTTGTTCTCGACTATAATTAGGGTGATGTATTAGGTTTTCTTACCTCTATATATATATATATATATTTGTTTGTGACGATGGTATTAGTCCGAATCAATCAAATACCAAACAAATAAAAAAAATTTGGCATTTTACATTGTATTCTCACTTGTGAGTTACAAGCAAAATACTATGATGGTGTGCTACGGTTCATTGTTATGATATTATCCATAAACCAACGGATATCATAGTATTTTACAAAATCATCATTGTTTTCCCGCAGTAGTGCCTTGTCCAAACCCCGAGTCCAATAGAAGCAATCTACATTTGTAAACAATCTCGCGTGCTAGCGAACGATGAGGGGAATCAATGGAGTATATTGTAAGCGTTGGCTTATTTAGATGGAAAAACCCTATAAGTACATCCATGGTATCATGCATGAGACTCATGCAGTGGCAGATCCATAAAACTCTTTAAGAGTTTTTAAATAGTTTCGAATTCAAATACTACCATCACTGGAATAAAATTTTACACAAGTTTTCTTTCCAATATTTTTGATTTAAGGTTTTTCAATTGATAATTCATTCATGCACTTAGGTCCACCCGTGGATTCATGTGTTAGACACCATAGCAATTTCGAAGATAATGTTATATCATTTGTGGATTTCGTGATATCAGCTAGTGTATACATATAATTTCTATCAACAGGATATTGAATTGGACGACCTTCAGTTGTTGTATCTATATGATCACAAATTTGAAAATAACATCACACATACTAATCCACAGACTAATATCCCAAAAACAAAAACCCTGATGATATCAATTCATGCATTCAGCACTGTCGATCGACATAGTAGTAACCAAGTCCCATACGTTACATAGCTAAGCTAGATAGAAAGAGGAAAACTGCTTTTCTTCAAGTGGTGGGTTTTGCTTTAATTATTTGGCCACTCCATTCATTCTGATGAGGGAAACTCTAAAGAAGGGGATATAGCTAGTGATGTGAGTAATGGTTGCGGTTGTGAACTTGTGGTGGTGGAAATCAAGAGAGAGAGAGAGAGAGAGAGAGCGCGGAGAGATCAAAAGATGGTTGATTAATTGTGCATCATGCTTTCTTGAGTGAGTGTCTGACGAGTATGACTCCATCACCATATCTTTGCTTTCTTTATACTTTGTAGTGTTTATGCACCCCTCTCCTATGAAACGTTTACATAACGTCTGTTGTTTTCATTTCTCATTTCTTTCTTTCTTTCTTTCTTCTTTCTATAACGTTTCTTTGTTTTGTTTGCCCATTACAATGCTTTTTCTATCTCTATCCCCCTTTGTAGTACACCCATATTGATGTCTTTCTATTGGGTTACACGAAAAATTTCCTAATCATCTTTTCATCAATAATCTCCACTTTATAAGATGATTTTCCTTTTTTAATTCTTGAAAAGTAATTTACAATTGGACTATTCCAAGAAGTGGGGTGATCTGTTTTTAGTAATACACTGTTTTTACCTCAATCGTGAGTTTAAGAAGATAATTTTATTTACAATCCAACTTTTTTCAATCCACAACGTCATAAAAGAACTAATCATCGGGAAAAAAAAAGTATATTAAATATGATTCACAAATACTATATGTAAGAACAAATTCACTATGTGTGGCGAATATAGATTTCATAATAAAGTTATGCAATACCTTTTAATCCTAAGAAACTTAATTCTAGACTAGAGTGTTGAAGAAGGTACTTATAGAACAGTTCTCCAAAACCTTACACGAAAAATAGCCCGACACAAGACAAATCCAACCTGGAGAATAGATGGACAAATCTCATAACGCATATTCAATACATCCTAAAACACACTATAGTTGTACGCTCCTACAGTTAAAAGAAGGAGAAAAAGGATAAGCTGAGAATTCAGTAGAGTTCGAATCCGACCGCCTCAAAATTGTCATGATAACGGTTGACAACACCACTATTATTTTATAATCAGGAAATTAAAAAGACTATTTTCTTCACACGTACATCCATACGCTTAAATTTCAATATTTGTGATATTGTATCATATATGTACTTGATTAGATTGGTTAAACTCATTTATACTAATGATGAGACCGATAGAATCTTACCCTATTGTGATGTTTTACGATTTCGACATGATTCTACTAGAACTGTTCACCCTTATCGTTACAATTTTTCTTATACGATTTTTGGATGTTTAGGTGCATATTCCAACTGAATACCTTTGCTACTTAATCATTCATGAACCAAACTTTGATACTGAGTACTAGATACCATATTCAAATCTAATCTCCTAAAAATAAACGTATCAGAAAAGCATTGCACTTTCCTCGTGATTATAAGCCCACAATCTCAACAGCAAACCACAACCAAAAAACCCAAAGAAAACAGTTACTTCCTTTTACTATCAAAAGCAGAGTCCCGCCAGCTTTGCCAATTTAACGGTGGAGCATTCATTCTTGTCCTCTACTGCCCCAATTTCGTAGCTCCGGAAGCTCCGTCAGACTTCTGAGGTGAAAATCCAACTGGGTTCTCCTTCCATGGCTGGGGAGAAGAGAGGCAAACCAGGGCTCAATAAAGCATGTTGCCTTCTCATCGGTAAGTCAATCAATCAATCAATCAATCCACCAGACTCTGTTTTAACTCAATTTTTGGAATCATGGTGAAAATGGGTTGCTCTGTTTTTCTGATTACTTCAATGGTTTTACAGTGATTGCTGGGATGGAGCGGTTTGCGTTCAAAGGCGTGGCATCAAACCTCGTAACCTACTTAACCGACGTAGTTCACATGAGCAACTCGTCGGCGGCCAAGACGGTGAATAACTGGTGCGGGTTCACTTCCATGATGCCACTACTTGTGGCGTCGCTGGCCGAGTCTTATTGGGGTCGTTGCTCTACCATCTTAGCCTCCTGCGTTCTTTACATTGTGGTAAGCCCCCATTTCTCTCTGTTTCTTCACCTCCCCTGTTTTTTTGCACCCTTCCCCTGTTTTTTTTACCCCCTTTTGCTTTGTTTGCCTTGGACTCATGCGCTATTTGAGGAAGGCGGTTAAGCTTCGTGTTGGTTAAGCACCATTAAGCTAAAATCTTGTGGTTGGGAGTTTAAATAGGTGAGACCAAATCCTCCACTTTGTTGGAATGCCCGGGAATTGAATACCGGATGATTTGGATTCATAGAAATGTGTTGGGGGAGTTTTTTCAAACTTGATGAATCAAAGCGAGTGAAAAAAATGATCAATCATATAAGATTTTGAAGTTTACATGGAATGATGAGTTTGTTAGGTCGCCGAATTACTATGCTCTATTTTTTTTCCATGATTTTGGTGTAGTTGAGTTATTTCAATAGACCTTCATTATTTTCTAGATCAACGAGCTTAATATTAGTAACGAATTAAGAAAATCTCAAGTCTCACACAAAATCTACATGATTCAATAAGTTTAGTGTATCATCAAAGAGTTTAATACTAATGATCAATAAAGAAAATCCCGCATACAAAAATCATTTGAAGTTTAGATAATTTGATAGATTTGTTATGTCGACGAATTACTACACTCTCTTAAATTGTTCCTCTAATTAAAGCATGAAGAAAAGGCTAATGTGGGGTTTAATTTCTGAAGGGACTTGGGGCATTGACATCTACAGCACTAACATGGGGACAATACGATTCAAACAGCATTGGCTACTCCTTCCTCTTCGGCTCACTCTGCCTAATCTCCCTCGGCCAAGGAGGATACAACCCATCTCTCCAAGCCTTTGGAGCAGAGCAATTGGACAGTGAAGACGAACTCCCCTGCACCATGGACGACAAGAAGCCCAACCTGAAGAGCTTGTTCTTCCAATGGTGGTACTTCGGGGTATGCGCGGGGAGCTTGATGGGGGTGATCGTGATGTCCTACATTCAGGACACCATTGGTTGGGTGTTGGGTTTCGCTATCCCAACCTTAGCAATGGTTGCTTCCATGGCGTTGTTCTGCCTCGGAGGAAGCATTTATAGGTATAGAGAGGACGAGGAAGATGCCATCTCCAAGAAGTCGTTCCTTGAGATCTTGAGAAAGGTTAAGGATGTTGTTTGTAAGGTCAAGGTTTGCAGGATCAGGTTGTCTGATGAGAAGACTGAAGCTGCTGAGATGGAGTAAGTTCTCTCTGAGTTCCTCTGTTTTCAATTTTGAAACTTCTTACCTAGAGCTGCTTCAATGAATTAGTAACCTGATCCACCCATCAAAATTCGCTTGATTTTGTTTGAAATTTTAAGGAAGCCTATCCTGCTTAGTTAGGGGTGGGCAACAGTTAGATCCCAACACTCTACATCATACTATATAGACTTTTATCGATGGTTTGAATCGAGCTGGATCATATCAATGTTACGTGCATTTGACACAAATGCATTTTTGTCTTTATCTATTTTAGATCCTCATTTTGTTGTAAGTTTCGATCTTGTCCACCAATTCGGTTAATCCTAAATCTTAGTTCACAATATCTGTAGATATATCTTAAACTATTAAAATCCGGATTGTCATGACCATCTCTCTCTGGCACCCACCTCCTAAGCAGCTTGACCATAAAACTCGAAATGACTCCTAACCTATTCAACCTAAATTTCAATTAGAGCATAAGTTAGTTTGCTAACCAATAAATTGTGTAATCCAATTGACATGTGAACCTACACAACTCAAAAATCAACTAATTCGTAATCCGATCGGGTCACTCACTCGGTTGACTTGTAATCCAAAATTCACATGTAACCAATCAACCTAATCTTGACCCAACCCAAACCACTCTTTACTCTTTACACATCTCAATGCCTAACTTTCAGCCTTCTTTTTTTGGCCATACAGGATGCAAGAGAAGCCTCTCCAAACTGACAAACACAGCACCCTGAAGCCAGGAACAGAGAAGCAACAACAGCAACCACCATCAACCAAATCCAACACCAACTGGATCCAAAACGCCAAAACAATACTCAGACTCCTCCCGATCTGGGCAACCCTGCTGACATTCGCTGTCATCTTCCAACAGCCCGCCACCTTCTTCACCAAGCAAGGCATGACCATGTCCCGAACCATCGGTACCGGAAAAACCAAATTCATGATCCCACCGGCGACCCTGCAGAGCTCCATCACCATCTCCATCATCCTCCTCATGCCGCTCTACGACAAGCTCCTCATCCCCTTCGCCCGCCTCGTCACCCGATCCGAAAAGGGGATCAGCGTCACACAGCGGATGGGGATCGGGATGTTGCTGTCGATCGTCGCGATGGTAATCGCGGCCTTGGTCGAGGAACAGAGGCTGGAGCAGAGCAGGGGATCAAAAACAGAGGAAGAGCAAAGCAGGGGAGCAAAAACAGAGGAGGTTGTTGTTGGGATGAACATATTCTGGCTGTTGCCGCAGTACATTTTGTTGGGGATTTCGGATATATTCACGGTGGTGGGAATGCAGGAGTTCTTCTACGGGGAAGTTCCGGTGAAGATGAGGACTCTGGGGATTGCGTTGTACACGAGTGTTTTTGGTGTGGGGAGCTTCATGAGTGCTTTGTTGATATGTTTGGTTGAGGTTTCCACGCGGTGGAGGAATGAGGAGAGCTGGTTTAGCGATGATATGAGGGAAGCGAGGCTGGATAAGTATTATTGGTTGCTGGCCATTTTGAGCTCGGGGAGCTTGGTGTTGTATTTGGTACTCTGCAAGGTTTTTTACAGGGGAAGTAGGAGTACTGGTGATGAGGTGGCGATGGAGGTGGTGGAGAGTGGTCGTAGTAGTACGGGATGTACATGAGAATTGAGATGATGCTTAGAATGTTTGTTTGAATCAGGGTTTTGGGATCCATGAGGGAGGGAAGTTTGAAATTAATTAGGAGTGTAATGTAAATATTGGATTGATGATAATGAGCACCATGTCTGAAAATGACTCGTTTTCTAACCGTGGATTAGACTTTCGGGTTTTGACAATGTGTTCTTTCGATTGATAAATGATTTAGGATTATATTGCGGAGACAACAAATAGGTGTTTGATAATTATATTCGATTTTAAAAGAAAATTGCTTATTAATTACAATAATTAGATTTGTACGAGAACATTTTTTTATAGGTATGCAATGTCGCAGAAGTCTACAAATAATTTGTCTAGTCTATCAGACCAACCGCTTCTGATAGAGGTTCATCAACATTTCTAAATTTTCAACTTCGTCAGAATAAAGGAGTAACTGAAAGGAAGAAAATTATGTTATTGGAATTTGTTTACTCGTTGGCTCGGCCCGGCTCTAGAGTCTGTTTATATTAGTGACCAAACATGTGTGATAACCCTAGTAGGAGCCTTATATAAACCCTACAATTGAGGAGTTGATATTACAAATGGATGATGATAATACATTAATTTGCATGGCTGGTTTCCAACTAGGGAGTATCTAATTAAGGTGAAATCCCCTAAATATTTTGTTATTTTCATATAAGTGTTGTTTATAGAATCTTAGATCTTGTTGCGTTAAAGAAGTCTCACTCTATATGATCATTCATCCAATTGCAACTCGTACATTCTAATAATCAAACTCTCGCGATGGTCGGGCAGACGAAGGGTCATCGGGCTTCCAGGGGAGTGTTTTCAGGGTCTCTTCCGGGGAGTGATTTGAGCGGTGTCAGCGAGTGTTTTCTGTCTTGCAGGTCCGTGGCGTCAGGGTCGGAAGGCGGTGCGGGCTCGGCGGATGGATGTCGACGGCAAGTGCAGATGGGGACGAAGACGGTTTCGTGCAGCAGAGAGTCGGTTGGGGCTTCTTGGTGGTATAAGCTTCAGGTGGAAGAGGGGAACAGGAGGTGGTTTGTTCTGATGGATGAGACTCAGATCTCTTGGTTGCAAGGAGTGCTGCAGACTGCGGCCAGGAGAGACTGGCGCTTCCCTTTGGCCTGTGTTAAGAGGAGTGGCGGGCGTGTCATTCATGTTGGCAGAGGTGCGAACCGGTTTGGGGTTTTTCTGCAGGTCTCGGAGAACATCAGCAGTGGACGGATTTTCAAAATATGTATCCCCTCTGAAGGTCGTGGGGGTGGCTGGCGGCGGTTGATTATTCTTCTGCAGACCTTCTACTCGGCTGAACTCCAGGCCAGGATCAGGTCGAGCTATGGTTTGGGCGCGGGGGAGATTCCTTCTCCCCCTCCCCCTCCTCCTTTGGGTGCGCCGAGCAGGTCGTACGCTGAGGTCGTCAAAAGTGGTGGTTTCTATGCGGCCGGTAAGTGTGAGATCAAGAAGGTTGGGAACAGGCGTATCATTGTTGTGGGAGAAGAAGGGGTTAGGGAACGGGAGGAACTTTTGGGAAGAAGCTTGGTGCTGAATTTCTCTTCTAGGTCGGCTGCGTTCACTAGTTGTTCGGTGCAGGCCTTCCGTCGCTGGGCGATTAAGGCTTGGGCTATTGATGAAAACTTTATCTTGGAAGACAGGAACGACGGCAGCTGGTTCCTGATTTGCCCGACCTTTCAAGAGGCTTTGAGGATTAGGGGCTTTGATCAAGCTGTGTTTGAGAGTTTCGTCATCAGTATTTCGTCTTGGAATGAAGAGGGTGCCTCGTCCTCAACTGGTTGTACCTGGATTTTGGTTTTCGGCATCCCTCTTCACCTCAAGAGCGTGGAGCTTATCAGGACCATTGGCAAGTTTTGTGGCTCTCTTGTTGACATTGACTGGGGATCTTGGTGCTTCCCCTTTGTGCGAATTTGTGTGAAATCGGGCTCGAGGATCCCCCATGCTATCACCATTTCAGATGGTTCTCGCTGTTTCTCGGTCTCGGTGGTTTGTCCTCCGTCGTCTGTGTCTGGTCGGCGCGGGGGAGAGTCGGTCGGAAGGAAACACAGGGCTCGTGTGGTGGGGAAGACGAAGAGCCATGTCGCAGGCCTTGGCGTGCAGCCTCGTAGTCCCACATGCATGAATGCTTCGGTCGGCCAATCATCGGATGCCTTGGCTTTTGGGCATGAGAATGTTCTTTCGGCGGACTCTAGGGCCGGGTCTGGTACTCTTTCGGGCAACTCTTCGCGGCCAGTCACTAAAGTGTGGGTGAGAAAAGCTGGGCCGTTGGCACGTCCCGCTCTGGTTGGGCCGACTCCGGCTCGGCCCTCTCTCAGTTTGTCTCCCCGGGCTTCCTTTTCTTGGGCATGCGATCAGGGCCTTTGGTCACGGATTCTGGGCAGGCTTCCTTCTCCTCTCCTTTCCCTTTCCCCCCCCACCCTTCCTAGCGATTCAGTCACTCTCTCTTGAGCTCCTCGTCTCTCTGCCTAGTGATATCGGACCTCTTCTTCTACACCTCCCCTTCCTGTCACCCCTCTCTTCATCAAGCTCCTTCTCTTGCTCCTTGGTGTTGTCTCCTCTCTTGTCCCCTGTTCGCCCCTCTGATCGATCAAGCCCCAGGAGACAGGTGTGCCTTAGCTCAATTGACTTCGATGAAGCTGGCGAGGATTCTTTTTCTTCCCCGTCGCTTTCGGCTGTGTCACCAGCAATTGTCACGCCTAGTGTTTCTGTTTCTGATTCCCATTCTGATGATGACCCGCCCTTTCCTTGCCCAGAGGACCCCCCGCTCGTGTCGTCACCCTCGTGTCTCATGGATAAGGGGGCTTGCTCTTGGGATCTGGATGCCTTCCCTTTCGATTTGGACTCGCTGAGGAACAGGAGCCTTGATTTGGGGAGAGTGTTCTCGCTGGTGCACGAAGATGGTCAGGATCGGACTGATTCTATTATCTCCTCGATTGCCTCGGACACTCACAAGAGGAAGGTTCATAGCTCGCGCTCGAAGCTTGATATGGAGATGCGTCGATTGGGCCCAATCGCTGAGCCGGTCGTGGGTCCAAGGAAGAGGAAGGTGAGTCTGGCGGGATCTCTGCTCTCTTAATATCATGGGTAGTGCTGTTCTGATTTGGAATGTTAGGGGTCTGTGTGAGATGGATAAGAGGGCTCGCATCAAGCGGATTATCGGCCGGAAAAGTCCTGGTATAGTTGGATTGGTGGAAACTAAGTTGACTCAGTGCTCTGATGCTTATGTTCGGGGTATCAGTGGCCGAAGGGATGTCGGTTGGGTCGCTAAAGATTCTGTTCGGAGTTCCGGTGGCATTCTTGTTTATTGGGACCAATCTTTGTTTCAGTTGATTTCTAGCAGGGAAGGCTCTTATTTCGTTGCTGTTGAGCTTCTTGATCTCACTGCCGACAAAGTTTGGCACCTGATTGTTGTTTACGGGCCGCAGGACAGAGTGGACAAACTCAATTTCTTGGCCGAACTCCTTTCCTTTTGTGGTCATCTGAATGGCCCCTTCTGCGTTGCCGGTGACTTTAATCTTGTGAGAGGGCACGACGACTATGTGGGAGCTAGACGCAGTACAGATATGATGGTAGAGTTTAATGATTTCATCGATAGCTTGGGCCTTTTTGATCTTCCCCTGGGGGGTAGCAGGTTCACATGGAGCGGTGGTTCCGGTCATCTTTCCCTGTCTCGCATTGACAGGGCCCTTATCTCCTCTGAGTTTGATTCCATGTTCCCTGAAGCTACCCTTTCTGCTTTGGAGAGGATCGAGTCCGATCACAACCCGCTTCTCATCAAGTGGGGCTCGCGTACCAGGACGAAAAGACCGTGGAAGTTCGAGATTATGTGGTTAGAAGATGGTCGATTCTACGATGGGTTGGGGAGCTGGGTTCAGGAGCCTGTCCGCGGCATTGGTCATGTTTTTCTTTGGGGGAGGAGGCTTCAGAGTCTGAAAACTAAGATTAAAGAGTGGAATAAGGCTATATTTGGCAACGTCAATACTAAGGTGGAGGTAGGGGTGGGCAACCGGTTCGGTAAACCCGAACCGAACCCGACCGAACCGAATTCAGACCGAACCGAAACCGAAATATTGTTGTTCGGTTCGGAATTCGGAAGAAGAATAGGTATACTTCGGAAACCAGGTTCCTCTCGACCGAAACCGAATTCCGATCACCGAACCGAACAACCGATTTCACAACCAAACCACCCACATATCAGACCTCACCCTCATGTCTTATAGCCTCACCTCAACTGGGCCTCGGCCCAAACATCTCACCCACACACAACCCACACTCTTTGCTAACCCTAGTAAAATAAAGAAAGAAACATGCAGTAGGAAAGCTCTCCTACGGCCGCCGCTCTCCTACGGTCCTACCCTCTTGCTCCGTCACCTCTCATTTCAACCTCTTGCTCGCTGCTCCTGGATTCTTCTCCTTTCAATTCTCTTCATTCACTTGTCCTCGCCCTCCATTTAAAGTTTAAACCTACAAAATCAACAAAAATCAAAAGCTCAGATTAGCAAGCCTAGAAAAAAATCAAATCAAACAAAAAGACGAAAAATGTTGAATCAAACTTACCCAGGAGGAGAGATCCGGATCTGCTCCTGCTGATCGTGGCCATGCATGTGTCGTTGGTGGCCTCTGCCGCCTTCACCCTCCCCTCCCGTTGTCCATCTCCATCACCATCCTTCGTTCCTCCCTGAGATCAGAAACCCAAGTCCAACCATAAATACCACATGCATCAGAGGGAGAAAGAATAGGTCGTGAGGGTCTGAGGAGGGGAACTGAAGACCCTTTTCTGAGAGGAGAAAGCGAAGAAGAAGAAGGAAAATCGAGGTGGTGGGATGGGAAAGAGGCTCGGAGACGGAGGAGAAAATTTGAGGCTCTGATTATTCTGAGGAGAAAAGGGAAACGAGAAGAGAAGATAAGATAAGCAGGAGAGAGAGAGTCGCCTTATATATAATCTCGGTTATGGTCTTAAAACCGAACCGAACCGAGCTATAATTCGGTTCGGATGTACCGAACCGAATTATAGCTCGGTTCGAATTCGGTTGGGGTGCTGGCTAAATCGGAAATTCGGCATGTCCTGGTTCGGTTCGGTTTAAACCGAACCGACCGAATGTCCACCCCTAGGTGGAGGAGCTTATTGGGTTGATTAAGGAGCTCGATAATGCAGAAGAGTCTTTTATTCTCTCCGATGAAGACAGGGAGCGCCGATCCAACCTGAAGCTGGAACTTGGCAGGGTTCTATTCTTGCAGGAGATTAGCTGGAGGCAAAAATCGCGTGAAGTGTGGCTTAAGTTTGGGGATTGTAATTCTCGTTATTTCCATATTGTGGCCAACCAGAGGAGAAGGCTTAACACCTTTGACACTATTATTATTAATGGCCAGCGGGTGGAGGGCAGGGAGGAGCTTGCGCAGGGAGCCGTTTCCTATTATTCGAGTCTCTTCCTTGAGAGCATTTCGAGGCGGCCTTTCCCTTCCCTGCTGTTCGACTGGGGACTTACAGATTCCGATCGCAATATGCTGGTGCGCCCGTTCACTGAGGAAGAAATCAGAGCTGCTCTGGCTGATTGTGATGGCAGCAAGTCACCGGGCCCTGATGGCTTTCCGTTCGAGTTCTACTTGAGGTGCTGGGATTGGGTTAAAGGTGGGGTGATTGAAGCTTTTAAAGAATTTTTTGATACAGGCTTTCTCCCCAAAAGCATGGCGCACTCTTTCATTTGTCTTGTTCCGAAGAAAGATGTTGTCGAAGATATCCGGGATTTGAGGCCCATTAGCCTCATGGGAAGTTTTAATAAATTGGTTAGCAAGGTCCTTGCACTTAGGCTGCGGGGGGTTCTTCCTGGTATTGTTTCCCATTTTCAACATGCTTCTGTTCAGGGGAGGCAGATCTCTGATGCGGGTCTGATTGCCAACGAGCTTGTTGACAGCCGTAAGAGAAGTGGGCGTCCTGGGCTCATGTTCAAGCTTGACATCGAGAAGGCCTTCGATAATGTGAACTGGGGATGCTTGTTCAAAGTTCTTTCTATTCTTGGTTTTCCTCCTATTTGGCAGAAGTGGATGAATGGTACTATGTGCTCTCCGATGCTTTCCCTTCTTATCAACGGCGAGGCTAAAGGTTTCTTCCCTGCTCATAAGGGTTTGCGCCAGGGGGACCCTCTCTCTCCCGGGTTATTCGTTCTGGTCATGGACGTTCTCTCTTTTTTGCTGTCTAAGCTTAAGGAAGTTGGCAGAATCCGCGGATTTTTCATGGATGAGGGTAATGGGCTCGGGGAGGTGACCCATCTTCTTTTTGCAGACGATACTCTTATATTCTGTGACGCATCCCCCGAGCAAGTCTTGGATATCTCAGCTACCTTAGTTTGTTTTCAAGCTATCACCGGGCTTAGGATCAATCTTGACAAGTCCACTATGTACCTGGTGGGGGACGTTGCCGAGCCTAGCTTCTTTGCTGATATCTTTGGTTGTAGGTGGAGTAAAGATCCTTCCATCTATCTTGGTTTCCCTCTTGGAGCCAAGCCTAACGCGGTCGCCATTTGGGATTCTATCATATCCAAGTATCAGAAGAGGTTGGAGGGGTGGCGGGGTCGTCATTTATCCTTTGGGGCTCGGGTCACTCTGATTAACTCGGTGCTCTCGAGTCAGCCGGTTCACCTCTTCTCTCTGTTTAAGGCTCCTAAGTTGATCATCAATATTTTGAAGAGGACGCAGAGACGCTTCCTCTGGAGTGGCTCGGGCGAGGCTTCCAAAATGCCCCTTGTTAGCTGGGACGTCTGCAAGGCTGCGAAGAAGAATGGCGGGTTAGGCATAATTGATTTATCTTCTTTTAACAGCGCCCTTTTGGTTAAGTGGCTTTGGAGATTCGGGACGGATAGACATGGGTGGTGGCGAGTCCTCATTTCGCATAAGTACCCTTTTCCAGCGTCGTCTTGGCAAACAGGCTGCATTAGAAGAGGGAGTGGTAGATCGGTTTGGGTTAATATTTCTAAGGAGTATAATATTTTCTGGAAGGTTGCCTGTCTTGATCCAGGAGGTGGTGCTGATGTCTCTTTCTGGATGGACTGTTGGGTTCCCAGTACAGTGCTCGCCATTGCGTTCCCGCGTGTTGCTGCCGCCGCTTCCCGGCCTTGGGCTCCGGTCTCCAGCATGCTGACTCGCTTAGGTGAGAGGGTGGGGTGGGATCTTGATCTTAATGTTGTTTTGCGAGGGGGGGCTGAGAGAGATAGAGTCGAGCTTTTGAATCTTCTTAATTCCTCCTGTACTGACCGAGTGACCAGCGGGCCTTGTAGGCTCGTGTGGTTGCTCAACCCAGATTCCTCTTTTTCAGTTCATGCCATGTACAGGTTTCTTGCCGATGCTCTCTTTCCGGGTCGGCCGAACTTCCCTGTCCAGTCGGTGTGGAAGTCAATCATTCCTACCAAGATTTGCTTTTTCTTGTGGACGGCCTGGCACAAGAGGATCCTCACTCATGATGTGCTGAAGAGGCGTGGGATGTCGATTGCTAGCCGGTGTGAACTGTGCAAATGCTGCGAAGAGTCTGCTGATCACATTTTTGTGGATTGTAGCTTTACCCAGGATCTGTGGCGGGTGATCCAGAGCGCCAGTGGTGTGGACAGAGCACCGGATGGTAACATCAGCGAGTCTATTCATAGCTGGCCTTCTGACCCTCCCGATGAGGTTGGAAGTTGGATCGCGTTCTGTCTCCTTCATGCTGCGTGCTGGCACGTGTGGCTGGAAAGGAATGGTCGGATTTTCGAAGGCCGGGCTCTTCCTGTTGTGGTGCTAGCTCGCAAGGTCTGCAGGGTGGTGGTTGAATGGTGCGTGGCTCACGGTAAAGTCGAGAAGCAGGCTGGTGGAGCTTGGCTTCAGCTTTGCCTCTCCAGGATTTGACTTGCTGCGGTTGCCTCGGGTTCCCTTTCTCGTTGCTTCCAGTCTTGGCCGGGCTCCTCCCTTGCCGGGGGCGGTGTTGGCTTTGGCTCTCGTCTGTGTCTTTGTCTCTGCTTGCTTTTCGTCCTGGCGCGCGAGCTCTTATCCGCGTCCTTTCTTTCCATTTTTTCTTTCTTTTTCTGTGGTGAAGGCGCCTCTCTCGGCTTTGCCTTCTGCCCCTTTTTGCTTTTTGTCTTCTCTGTAGGTCAGCTACTCCTTGTGGCTTCCCTGTACTTGTTACTTTTTTTCTCTTCTCCTTTGATTTAATGCATTTCACCCTTATCAAAAAAAAAAAAAATAATCAAACTCTGCCAACAAAGACTTGGTCTAGTATCTTTGATGATTTTCAACTCTAATGTTTTAGGTTTAAATCTTAAAATGGTCTTTCTCTTCCTCCACATACCCATTTAATAAGATGTCAATAATCAAACTTAAGTTACGGCGAATGAACGAGATCGATTACTGTACTCAAGGAATCAATACCGGAAATGGAAATGGTACATCGGCATTGTAATTTGTAACCAGACAACATACAATCCTGAAACATACATAAACCTTACTTTTATTATTTTATTTTATTTCATTTTTCCATTACAGAATATGAAAATTCGTATACAAAGTATGAACTGAAGTCCAATTACGTACGTACGTCTTCAACAGCTAGCCGATTATTTTATTCCATACACCTCATCATTATTTGTCTTATTGCATGCAACTCTCGGACTCCAGCTAGCTCGTGATCAACGACATGATGACGACCATGCATGCACCATACCGCCGCTATCTAGCTAGTTCCCGGCGGCAACAACCTTGCCAGAGTTATAACCGGCGGCGGCCGTAACGTTTCCGGCGGCGACATAATTAGTCGTAATATTGGTAAAAGAGTTGGGATAGGCCTCGGGGGGAGGACAGTTGGGGCGAGAGAATCGGTCGCAATCAAAATCGCACCAGTTGGGACAACACTGCTCCAGGCCGTCTCCACAAACTCCGCCCTTACTACAGCAATAACCCTCCCCGCACTGCCCGGCGCCGTTGCAGTACGCATCTGCCACCGCCGACACGGCCAGCAATACCGCCGCTGCAACAACGGCCGCCACCTTCTTATTAGAATGCTCCATGCGATGAATCGATTGATCGATATGTATTATATACTACTATTATATATACCTCTTGATCTTTCTTTCTTTCTTTCTTTCGTCCCTTTTTTCTTCTTGTGGTTTTGGTTTCTGAGAGTTGTATGGCCTTAGTAGGTTGCATGGGAGAATTTATAGGACTCTAGCTAGGTCGGGGATTCGGCCGGTTCTGATATTGCCGGCATTGTGCGTAGTAATTCTTTTGAGTTAATAAAGATAAGGGTATGATGCTGGGTTTTTTTTAATATATACGTCCTTGTGCTACCAAGTTCTAATAAAAAAGAAGTTAAAAGTTCTCTTTTTGTTAATCATCATTACATCCTCTAATCTTCTTTAATTTATTCTCTATATTGACAAAATTTCGTCGGAATTTGGTAATGTAGTTGTGACTAACGGTTAGTATAAGTATGTCAGTACTTAATGACGGATCATCACAAGGCACCAAAGAAGTTGGAAAATTTATCTTTTGCACCTCTCTATATATAGCACAAAACCTTTAACTTAGGAATGATAATTTCGAACTGACCCGTTTTACCCGACCTGTTTAATTAGTTTTGGGGCGGGGCAAGCATGGGTACCTCCCATTGATCTGACCTGTCCGACCCGCCCCATTCTTGACTCGTTCTTCCCTAAATTACATGTAATCTTAGTCAAATTATTTTGAATTTTCCTTTTATTACCTCATATCTTAGCTATAATAAACTTGTAAATAAGTGAAAACCTCAATTTCTACAATAATTTAACTACATTTCATCATATTATGGTTTCTTTCTTAGGCTTTTAACGAAAATAACGAATATTTCTAATGTTTTCACATAAATTAGATACCCATTAAGTCGACCTACTCCGATCAGCGCCCCATGATATAAATACCTGACCTGAACCCGACCTGCCACGAGACGAGTATGAGTATCGAGACACCCGCCCGGATCTGCCCATTGCCATTCCTACTCTAACCAATCTCAAAGATGGACACACCACAAAAATGAAAGGTGTAATATTAAAATTAAAAAAGTTAATTAAAAAGAAAAACAAAACATAAAATCTCAAACGCCAGATAAATGTGAGCATGGAATTATGACTAATTTGTTTTTTTTTACAATCCAAAAATAGGTTAATTGATATAACCTAACAACTTAATTGTTAAAAGATCATAGTATATAAACCCTTTGTTTATATTTACACAAATGCCCTTAACCCTATATCTTTCTCCCATTTTTAACCCTCTTTTTTTTTTTTAATATTGCCATAGGCTCCAATTTCAAACTCTTTTATTTCAGTTTTGGTTTGTCTTGTTTTTTGGCCCGTTGCATTAATGCGGCAATGGTACCCGTACCATATAGGACACGAAGATAGAATACAACTTTGACACCCACAAGTAGTTTTTAGAAGATAAACTCAGCTCCTTTAATTAATGGGAAAAAGTTTATAGAAGAAGCCTAGCTACCAATTCTTTTTAATTAATAAGGTGGAATTTGAGCTCTAACAAACACAAACATGTGCTGTATTCTTTTGTTATTTGGCTGATCGACCAATCAATATTCCTTGACACAAAAATGTTTTTGTAAGAGTGCGGTTGTCCCAGCCTAATATGCTCGGGGTACTAATTTTATCATCATAGTTTTAATAATTATTTAATATCTTATAAATATTAAATGTTTTGAAAGATAGATGAATGTATTTTTTAATGGCAAAATACACTTTTATAGTCATAACTTTCACCCGACTAAAAAACAGATACAAAATTTGATCATCTTTTCTTTTTTGGCCAACAAAAATTAACCGAAGCCAAATCAATATGGTAGGATGTGCAACCGTTTGTTCCAAAGCAGATCGCACCAGACCAAACGGACATCGAGACAGATCAAACCGACCAAATACATATAATGCGGTATGGTTCATGGTCATATAGATTTTATCAATTTTGAAGAAAAACAAGCAAGATTGATATTTGGACAAGACCACATTGGACCACATGCAATGTTGGTCTGATCTTTGGGTTTTTTTTTTTTTGGACAAGGTTTCTCAAGATTTGGTTCGGTCCTATTTGAACCGAATCATTGCTCAATTAGTAGAACTCTTCTTATATTGATGTTGTCAATTTTGGCCACCCTCTACAAGCCGGCTGAACCTGAACTATCCATCGTTAAGTCGAAGCTAGTTTTTCTATTTTCGTCTTTTAGTTTACTCGCCGGGCCTCGCTAGCCATAGTTTTCCACAGGCGGCTGGCGAAAGTTTGTTCTTGCATTTGCATGTGTTTGGGTACGTGTTATGCACTTCCACCACTATTATGCATGCGCCATACACTTACGCATCGCCTAGTTGGTGGACCGAAACGCTAATATCTTGGGAAAATATCATAAATTCACTTGTTGTAGTTTGAGTTTGAAAAAACAAAAAAATAATGTCGTTAATCTCTGTGAATCATATCTAGGATACTGTAATTACGAAAGAACATGTTATTCATTACATTACAAATCATTTGTTGTTAATAGGTTAAAAATATAAATTATATAATTATAAACTAAAACAAAAGTCCAATTAGAATAAACGAGCTCTTATGGAGACTTTGATACCATGCTAAATTTCGAATTAGAGTTCACAGGTTTTGGCAAAAAAGATATTTGGATTAGAAGAAGAAATATGGCAAGCAGAACACTACATTTGCCGTTTGTATACATAACTAATCAAATTATTATTTGCTACCTAATCTATAAAATACAAGAATCTATCCAAATACGTCAAATTACATTTTGATACCTATACTCTACACAAATTCTTAATTCAATGTGATTGAAACACAATTTCACTATTACTTTATTTATTCAAACGAATTAATCATACAAAAAAGCCTTGAATCACCTCTAATTGTAACGAGCCAACCAGGCTAAAGGGAATTTACCTCAAAGAGAGCTAAGTTCCCTCGTAATTGAAATAATTAATCACTTTAATTATGTAGCTAGTTAGGAAAGCAAAATGACAACCTGAAGATCCTGCAGTGCTCGAGTCTCCGGGTCTACCTAAGCTAAATTTCCACAGGTGGGAGAGGTAGAAGACGGAATTGGTTCATATTTGATTTGTTCTTGCATGTGTAGACTTTTTTGGCTACCCTCCTTAAGCCGACAGAGGTCTCCCCCTGCCCATTCAACACGCTGAAATTGAACTATTCATCTTAATTAAGTGTTTGTTATTCTTCAAGAAAGATAGAGAAGGTGGGTATCAAATTGTTCTTTCAGTTAACCTTTCATTACGTTTTAAGTCAAGTCGTCTCACAAGTCGAGAAGAAGAAATCAAGGTGGGTATCAAATTGTTCTTGCTAGCTCCCCTAAGACTACTATAAATCCACCATACATCAAACAGTTTAGCAGCACTTCAAGCTCAAACCCCAAATACTTACCTTCAAAGAAATCCATAGTGAGTGGACATGGAACCCAAATCAGCCGCACTAGCCCTTTGCCTCCTCCTTCTCCCACTACTTTCCCACGCTCACGGCCATCACAACAACTCAACCTCGCCACCATCTCCATTTGCCTTCCTCCAACACCTCAAAGGCTGCCACAAGGGCGACAAGCTCAAAGACATCCCCAAGCTCAAATCCTACCTCCACAAGTTCGGATACCTCGACTACACCAACCAAACCTCCCCTTCCAACCACTCCAACGACCGATACTTTGACCACCGCCTCGAGAACGCCCTCAAGACTTACCAGGCCAACTACCACCTCAACGCCACGGGGGCTCTCGACTCCGCCACCGTGGCCTCGATGATGTCCCCGCGCTGTGGCGTGGCTGACATCATCAACGGGACCAACTACATGCAGAACCGACGCGGTCACAGCCACAGGCTGCACGCGGTGGCTCACTTCTCTTTCTTTGAAGGGAGGCCCAGGTGGAGAGCCTCGAAGACGAGGCTCTCCTACTTTATCCTCCCGGGGACCCCAGACGCAGCGGTGGGCCCAATATCGCGTGCTTTCCAGACCTGGGCTGAGAACACACGATTTGAGTTCCAGAGGACTGGAGGGGACCCCGGGAGTACCGTGGACATCACGGTGGGGTTCCACCGTAGGGCCCACGGGGACGGGGCGGATTTCGACGGAGAAGGTGGCGTGTTGGCTCACGCGTTTGCGCCGGAGAACGGGAGGTTTCACTACGATGGGGACGAGAGGTGGGGGATCAGGAACCCAGGGGCGTTTGACTTGGAGACGGTGGCGTTGCATGAGATCGGACATCTCTTGGGGCTCGGCCACAGCGACGTCCGGGAGGCGGTTATGTTCTCCGGTATCGGTGTTGGTGAGGTTAAGGGTTTGCATGGGGATGATATTGAAGGGATTAGGGTTTTATATAGTGGGTAGCTGATTAAATGTGAGGGAGTGATCGATTAGTATTTAGTAACCGTTCTTATTCCGATCGAATAATATAGTTATACGAATATACGTTGAGGGTAATACTCTGGGTCTGGGATATACTCCTATAAATAAATGGGTACGTATGAAGATGTGTGTATAAGTACGAAATTCAAGAGGAAAAAGGATGGTGTTACTTATTATCACTCTAATTTAGCAGTGATTTTCCATAGCTTTTTGGATGTATTTATTGGATATCATGTCATTTGTCAGCATGACATATATATATTAAACTATGAATGGATTGAGCCTATTGATTTCTTTTGTATGAATTCATAATTTGTTTGCCCTTAAATTATGGTCGTCCAAGATACAGTCAGTAACCACTGGTTACTGACTTGTCAGTAATAAATCCGGGCCGCAGATCTAGGAGCCCAGCTCATCGTGCGGTTGGCCGGACGCGGGAGAAGGGGAGGGGTATTTTTGTCCATTTTTTAATTTTTGAATTTTTTTTTAATTTATCCAACATTTAATAGTTGGCTTTTCAATGAAGGAGAGAGAAATAGTCTTTTCTCTGCAACTCTTCTTTCTCTCTTCCTCTCTCTTCCTTTCTCTCTCCCAATCTTTTTTTCCTGATCTAGATTTGCTCCCTTCTCTTATTCTTTTTTTTAGGACAATTACGATTGTTTAGGACAAATACTCAGTAGTTTCTCTAATTACTTAATTATCTGACACTTGCGAAAATGTTCAATTATGTCATTGAATTTCCGATGCATCAGACTCCAAGTACATGGCCAATTAATGATACGTCTAGTAAACTCTTACGATGAGTATATACTAGCTTTTACCCGACCCGTTGGTCGGATCAATTTCATTATATTTCGTATAATTTATTTTATCAATATTTATGATTTACTTGATTTGCGATCTTTAATTTTATATGATTCACGAAAAATATTTGTGGTTTTAAGAGTTGACAATGACGTAAAAAGATAGTCCAAGCTATTATATTGACCAAAATCTCAAATATTTGAAGTATTTATTTGGAATTTTATTAAATAAAACACTTGTTGATTCAAATATACAATCGTCTGTCGTGAAAGTGGGATTTTATGAAAAAAGATTCATGACTTCATAAAGAAAGAAAACCAATTTGATATTCAATAACAAATGTGAACATCGTTTGGATTATATATTTCAGTTATGTATTTGGTATCTAAATTCAACACATGCGAGATTTGTCTAACTCCTAAATTTGGAAGTAGGTGCTAAAACTCTTTCCCTTTCTAATATCTAAGTATTGCATTTAAATTAGAATTCTAACCAACCAAAATGAAGAACGCATTCAGGTAAACTTCATGGTAAAGAGAAGCAGGAAACCAACAACATATCCATATTAGTTGGAAGGTGAGAAAACGTCATCAACTAACCAAGAAAGCACTTCTTTGTTGAAATCCTAGTCATTTCTTCGCATGATGAGGAGATGGTCCCATGGTGGCTGGCCAACGCTAATAGTGATAAGCAATTCTGGAGTACAGTTTTCAATGTCTTATAATTGTTTACGGAGCAAAATCAAAGGGTACCAGTAAAACATCTTACATCCATCATCAAGGCAAAAACAATCAAGCTAAATTAGAAATCAACGTCTTATGACCGAAGACTAACCAACCACTACAACAATGACATAACATCCATTTTCAGCCAGACAAAGAGGTTTCTAAAAGCTACTAAGCCAGATAATCACTTAGTAAAGGAAAACTAACAAACCTCGTGATTAAGCAAGGCACTTTGCGGACTGCAGTGCATCTACACAACATACACAGCCATATCCCCACCAGGGTTACGTAGTGCAAAAGAGCCCCATATCGTTCATACATAGCTTATTCTTTGTGGAGAAGAACTTCCCCAGAAAAGGTTATTTATTCTATCTTCTTCTACCAACTATGATTTCAGTATAACCAAGTATGAATAGAAAACCAATGAAATTTCATAAGGAAAAAAGAGTACCTGAGTTTTGTAATTCTGAGCTCCTCATTCGACCCCTACATGTTAGACGGTCAATGGCTCACCTACTCTGCCTTGACCTGATCCATCCTATAGATCTTCTCTAACAGATCTGATCCATCCGTCAGTCTAACCGTGAGCACTCTTATTTTCGTCAAACCCTAGTTGAATCCACCTCGGTTTCAATGCTTCGTGTCTCCATTGGCCACGAATCAGGCCGATTAGAGCGAGACGGGGTCGAGGAATGGCGCTCGGTGATTCATTGGAGCTACTTCAGTCTCAGTTGGCCACCGCTACTGCTGCAACTACTACAGATACTACCTGGCTAGAGCAGCATCCAAGCACTACGACCAAGGAGACCCCCACTTTAGGCATTACACACACACAGAGCATTACTACCCACCACCTATCTCCATATGCCTACTGTTCTGGTTCTTCCTTCTTACTTCTTAGCATTCTCTAAGTCATTGTATGATGGCAAGCATAACAATTAATTCCATTACAAAGGCCAGGCCAGAAGACACTGTGATTATAGAATTAGAACGATGAGACTACTTGCTAAAATTACCCTAAGAATTGCTTCTGGCTCACATGCAGAAAACCGACAATAATCTGAAGGGCCTGGATCAATTTGTCACTCAACAGCTAGCCATCAACAATAATTTACAATCGTCTATGCTAGCTATGGAGAGGCAGATGGGACAGATGGCTCAAACTCTGGCGGATATGCAAGGCAGGATTCCTGGGACATTACCGGCTAATACCGAGAGGAATCCAAAGGATGCCATGGTTGTAGCAGTCACATTGAGGAGTGGGAAGGAGTTGGAGGATCCAAAGAGCAAGAAAAATCCAGTAGAAAAGGAGGGCAAAGGAGCTGCAGAGATGGAGGATGAAGAAAGTGCAAAAGCTGAAAAATCTGACTTGCACAGGCAAACTACATGCAATCTGCCTGTGCAAAAGCAATCTGCCCGTGTACCTCAAAAAGTGGAAAAATTGAAGAGCGAAGAGGTAAAGCCTTATGAACCTCCCGCACCATTCCCTCAAAGGTTAATGAAGCCCATGGAAGACCCAAACTTCAAGAAATTTGTGAATATCTTCAAGCAACTTCATATCAACATACCGTTGGCGGAGGCACTTGAACAGATGCCTACATATGCTAAATTCTTAAGGGAGTTGCTGACAAAGAAGCGCAAATGGGCTGATCTGGAAAAGGTAACCCTTACTTCTGAATGTAGTGCTGTGATTCAGAATAAATTACCAGAAAAGAGGGATGATCCGGGCAGCTTCACCATTCCATGTGTTATTGGAGGTACAGAGTTCAATAAATCACTTTGTGATCTTGGAGCAGGAATAAATTTAATGCCATACTCAGTCTACAAGAAATTGGGATTGGGAGATGTTCTTAAGCCTACTCGGATCACTCTTCAATTGGCCGATCGATCAGTGAAACTTCCAAAGGGAGTGGTGGAGAATGTATTGGTGAAGGTGGGGAAGTTTATTATCCCAACAGATTTTGTAATTCTGGAGATGGAAGATGATCGGGGAGTGCCTCTCATTCTTGGGAGACCTTTCTAGCCACTGGTGATGCACTCATCGATGTCGGGAGAGGGAAGTTGACATTCCGAGTAGGTAAGGAGGAGGAAATTTTTAATGTCTTTCAAGTTGATCATAATCACGATGCATTTGATGACTTTGAAAGTGGAGCTCGAGAAAGGAAAAATTCATCTTCCTGTGATAGTGGACCATCCGAAGAACTATCACCTATCCTATCTGCTCAGATTCTAAAATCAAAGCAAGGGCAGAAATCCTTGCCAGGTCACCTCAAGCATAGATATTTGGGTAAGGATTTCAATCTTCCTGTTATTATTCCTTCTTCACTAACATTGAAACAGGAAGAGTACTTGCTTGAGGCGCTACAGTACCACCTACGCCTCACTAAAGGGTCCAACATGCAAGATAAGAAGGTCATACCCAATTTTCGCACACCTGGCCCTGCAGAGGTGACTCATATGCTGGATGGAGGTTATGCGTTCTATAATTGTTCGGGAGGGTATTCTGGATACCTTTCCATACCCATTGGTTGAAAGCTCCATGAACGTCAGGCTGAAGACGTTAAACAAGCGCTTCTTGGGAGGCAACCCAAGGTAAGTTTTCTTTTCTTTATTTTTCTTTTTAGTTGTGTCAAACCCGTGCATGTTTAGATTAGGAGTTGAACATTAGGGACAATGTTTCATCCTGAGTGTGGGGTGGTGAGTCTTAGTGTTTGTTTGTCCCTATTGCATGTAAAAAAAAAACCAAAAAAAAAAAATTGCCATTAAGGTGAGTCTTAGTGTTTGTTTGTCCCTATTGCATGTGGTAAAAAAAAACAAAAAAAAAAATTTTGCCATTAGGTTGAGCACAGCCAAACTGCATGCAGTTTGCCTATGCAAAAAGCAAGCTGCTTGTGCAAAGCTAATGGCTAAAAAACACCTAAAAATGAGAAAAATTAAAAACAAAACCTTGTACTCTTGTGGTAACATGATGTAAATGACCGTGATGCCTTGAAAATGAGTTTGTGCTTGAATGAAATCATCGAAATCACCCCACTAGTGTTGAATTGCATGGTTCTTCACAATGAGCTTAAATGTTTTGACTGACTTGATATGCTTGGAATGAGCAACTCTTTTAGCAACAGTCTCTTTTGTGAGGATAGTGTAATGACTTTTGGTGAAGTAGTTAGGTGGAGAACATTGACCATTCGACATGTTTGGATACCGTGCTTACTTGCATCAATTGTGAGCTTTTGATTTGGCAACGAGTCTCTCTGTTTTGATTGTTTTATGATGGGGTGAACTGTATCTTTATAAATGAGAAAACACTACCTGACAAGTAAAATATAAGAAAGTTGCCATAATAATTAAAGTGTGGGTAAAAATGCCAAAATCGTGTGAGGCAATCACTCATTGCACATGGGGATGAGGAAAGATTCAACTGAGAATCGGTTCGCGACCGTACGATGTTGCTTA